AGCTTGCTACTATTTCTTATTAGAGCTGCCTGTATTAGTACAGGCTCTTTAGTACTATTATTTCTTATGAGCTTAGGCATCTGTTAAGGCATGCTTCTCTGTTCTTATTACTTGGCCATTACCATTCTTACTATGTTGTGATTTTTCATTCTTCTTGTGCTCTCACCATCTCAATCAACTCACCTACTTTGACAAGGCATTTCATTGTACCCCACTTCACTAGTATCTCATCTTTTATGTTTGTGACCATTACTTGTTCATGAAATAACTGCCAGTTTCCCTGAGAGTTACAGGCTTTAAAGAATATATTTACAATCTCTTTCACAAAAGTGATATTCTTATGATCTATAGCAGTTTCAATCTCTATAGACATCTTGTGTATCTCTAGCACTAGCTTCACAGCCAATTGCAAACTAATCACTAGAGATTGACAACCAGAATTTATTAGTGCTGACCAGATGATACTTCTGTCAGTTGGACTTCACACATCTAGAACAATGAAGAAGAGAGCAAGAAGACTTTTCTTGAATAACTTTATTATATTGATTCTATCTACTTACAGCCCCTCAATTTTCTATTTGCTATTCTTCTTCTTGAGATAGTCTTTTGTGAGATGCCTCTTTTGACTATACTTAAAGCACTTTTCTTCTTTTCTTAAAGCTTCATAATTCTTTATAAGATCTTTTTCTATTTTCTAAGCAGATCTCTGAAGTTGATCTCTCTTATCTATTTATAATCTTGAGTTATCAGTCTTTATATCTCTGTAAGCACTTTCAGCTGAATTGATAGACTTTGTGTGCAAGGCATTCTTTTCAAGAGCTGCTGTCATACTTGGTTAAAGTTGGGTAGTCAGTACTACTATCTCATCAATATTATCTGGTATTTCCAGCTGTTTATTCAGTTTAGCTTGCATGAGCTTATTCAAGTTCTTTATGTATAGATTCTTCTTCATTTTTTCAAAGCTTTCAAATTCTTCACTAATTTCTGTTGTAAGCTCTAGCAATTATTGGTGATAGACTTGATCAGTTTCATCTAAACTCTTGTAAAGATTGAAGATTACTTATCAAGAGTTTCACATGTGGTTTACTGGATCTTCTAGTCTTGTGTGTAGAAATTTCTTGAGACTATTCCAGTTATTTTTTAATAGGTTATTTTTATAGTAAATCTTTCAGAGATTTTTTTCAATGTAATCAAGTTCTGTAAGAGTGTACACAAGAATTTTCTCATCATTCAATTTGCTTATATTATAAGTGAATTTAATGCTGGAGATGAATTACTGATATTTTGTGTAGAAGTTAGTCTGATAGAGCTTTATATATTGTGATAATCTCAAGACTGACAGATGCTTTATAGGTGTTGGATTGGAGATAATTATATTAAGAGATTCATTTTGTAAGTGCTTTTAAGTGATCTGAAGAGTATTCAACTTTTCTTGTCATTTTGCCATTCTCTTTAGTAATTTGGTTTTCTTCTAAATTTGTTGGATTTTATCTCTTAATGCTAAGATAGACTCTCTCTCTGAGATTGCAATACTAGTTTTGGTTTCATTCATGATTAAGAGAGCTGAGATGGTTTCAAGATTTATCATCTTCTTACAAACTTAGGTTTGTTCTTTAGATAGATTTTCTGCTGGTGTTCCAGATTTGTGAGCTTCAGAAGATTGACTTCTTTATATTAATACTATTGTTAGGCATCATCAAAGAAGAGTGGCAAAATATGAGAATTGTATATGTAGATTGATGTAACAATGAATCTATAGAAGAAATTATATGTAGAAAAGAGTACACAAGATAAAAGATCTGGTATTAGCAATTATATATGACTTGTAGACAAGATTGCTACTGGCTCCCAACAAGAGATTTGTGCAGTAGTGGCCTTTTATATGTGCTTGTGAGCATGTGATCTAGTGTCTTGTGAGGACATACATACTTCCAACAGCTTGCAAGCTGAGGCCTTGGAGCCTTGTGGATGTTGTTTGTCCATATAAGAGGTTTGCAGGCAAATTCTTACAAGTAGTTAGAAGAGACCTTTAGCAATAAGAAAGCTAATATCTATCTATACTATAACTATGCTAAACTAATAGCTTCAAAACTTGGCTTACAGACTCACACACTTAATAGAGAGAAGCTTCTCAACCATTTAGCTTACATCTATAGAAATTATCACAACATTGGCTCAGTCAAGATTAATGACAGCATCTATCTCTGGTTCTATTTGGCAAATAGACAAGCTAGAGCTGAAGATGCTTTAGGCATTTACAAATTCAAACATTAGTCAAGTATTTCTCTGGTCACAAAGATGAAGATCTTTGACTTTAACTAATACATACAAATAACTAAAGTTAACAAGTTCATCACTAACAATTTTCAGAAGAAATGGGAAACAACTGGATCTGTTGTCATTCTCTAGCTAATATACTGGTGAAACAATAAATTATAAGGTGCTACCACTACAGTTCTCAATCACATTAATAGTGAATATGACATGTACTACCATCATCAGCAAATGATGAGAGGTTGTGACAATTATGGATGGTTAAGAACAATGTATTACAGTATTAGTTAACAACTCATGTGCCAGAACTCTGTGTACTATCTATAGTACATGCTGACAAGATGTGACCATGCTTGAAAATTAATCTCCTATTCATACTACACCAAGTATGCTAAGCCAGAAGATAAAACTGGGTTTTACCATATCAATATCAATGTTCCAGATACTATTACTACTGGAAGAAGTATTAACATAATACAAGAATTCTTGATCTTAACTGCAGAAGAGCCCAGTAACTGCACAGAAATCTTGCTAGAAATGCATAATCATCTAGAGAATTAATGAAGACTAGTTGAAGAATAAGAATTATTCACTAATAGCTATATTCACCACATTAAGAATATAATGTATACCAAAGACAACAAAAGAAGATTTGGTATTAAATGAACTGATATTATTTGCAAGTCTGGTGATGTTTAAATTTCAAGCTCTCTGCTACTTCATGAAGCTCATGGTTCATGCAAAAAGATCTGACACACTATACTATTCTGGTATATGGTAATTCAAGAGAATCATGAACATCTAGAAATCAATAAAGCTGATATATGATTCCAGCTCTCCACTGCATATAGAGATCTAGTTCTAGAGCCTTCATCTCCATCCAGCCATTCAAATTGTTATGCATTAGTTCTATATTAATTCTCTATCACTATTCAATTGCAAGACTTAGAAGCTATATCAGATGCTCTGATAGAACAAATTAGGTGGAACAATCTCATGATAATTGAGAAACTTGATATTCTCTTTGGTCCTGATGACAAAAAGACTCAGAACTTCATTAATAACTGGCATCTAAAGATCACACAAATTACTTTAAATGCTATTATCAAGATCTACTAAATTAAAAAGAAAGCTTTTGACAATAAATTCTATTGACATTGTATGCACAATAATATTGATCCAGTGTCTGTTCAATCTTCCTCTTCTTTCAAGAACTTGATGAAAAAAGAGAATTATAATGATCAGTATTAGAGATTACTGCTATCACTCTTCTTATTCTTATTTTCTATGTTCTTTCTTACCAGACTGCTCATTATTATTTATTATTCTCTTATTTTACTAAATTGGTTTTATTTTATTTTTTATATTGTTTGTTGTCAGGGGACACCAATACTCTAAGTCAGAAGAAAGTGTAGTAGGGATTCCAGTATCTTATTAAAATAAAGATTGTTCCAGTTCAATTTAAAGCTACTATTTCTGAGCTATATAAACTCTCTATAGCCTCTGCATCTTGCTTATTATCTTTATACTTCATTGCTCTTTTCTACACATTCATTTCTTGTTACCAGTTTGGTTATTAATTAGAGAATATGAAGATTTCTTGTTCATGAAACTTGCTACTGTTTCTCATTAGAGCTGTCTGTATTAGAACAGGGCTCTTTAGTACTATTACTTCTTGTGAGCTTAGGTGTCTGTTAGGACATATCTATCTCTACACTTACTACTCAACCATACCCTTATTATGTTGTGATTTTTCACCTTTCTTGCGCTCTCACCATATCAATCAACTCACCTATCTTGACAAGGCATCCCATTGTACCCCGCTCCAACAGAAGCCCAGTCAGTTTCTCAATATGGAAGGTTTGTGGATAGATCATCTGAGAGCCTTCCAATATTTCAGGCTCATTTTGCAAACAAGGTTGTGCCTAGGGTGCCCATTTTCAGGAAAGGATAGATATCTTATTCCATTTCTTGTATCATTAAGACTCTTGCTGGTGATGATATCAAGTAGAAAAATCTGGCATTCTTTGTGTTGTAGGTGAAGGGACTAACAAATGCAGATTAAGCCAGATATGCAATTGCCTCAGCTATGATTCCAAATTAATTTCTAGTCTTCATTGCACCTTCTTTGCCCCATTTAATTCATTCACTTTCATGTTCCAGCAACCTTACTCTGTATCATTTAATCCTTCAAGTACATGAGTACATAACAGAGGCTAGAGACTTATATCACCAACAAACAAACAGTCTGACTCTGGAGTAATCTCACAGTCCCCAACAGTAACTGCATATGTGCCAGGGACAAGATCATATGTCTTTCCATCTTTGATTATCTGCAGGTTTCCTGATATTTTGGCGACAGGAATGGTGTATAACCACTTTTCCAATGTTAGTTGGATTGGCTTATTGATTAAGAACCACCACATCATGTAGCTCCAGCCCTAACCAAGTATGAGCTATCCTGAAATATCAAATTATGATATGGCGTGCCTATATCAAGACCCATACTCATAAGTAACAGTTTCACATAAGAATCAATCTTCTCTTTTGCGTACATCCAATCATCTTTTTCATCAATAAAGTAGTCCTCTCCCCTGACTCTTAAAATGTCAAGTGCTTATTGTTCCAGATCTCATCTGTATCTCTCTGCATCATCATTCAAGAGAGCTCAAGAGTTCATAGGTCTGATTGTCACCACCAGCCATGAAGTGGGAAAAGGCTTAGATCTATTCATATGCATTAGTTGTAGTTTGAAGAACCAATACAATCAGGACTCTCATGAGATACCAAATATCCAGAAACCAGGTTAACTCATCAGCAGTGAGCATTTCTAGTGTGGCAGATTGGAATTTTTGAAGAAATGCATGATGTTTATGCAGAGGTTGGGCCGCAATCACAAGCCCACCATATCTCAAGCCCCCACCTGGGAGAAAGTTCAAGTCATGAGATTGGATATCATCATGTGGGTTTTCTTTGCCTTGCGCTTGCGGCTCCATCCCCAAATTTTTCACAAATGCCCTAGTAACAATGCACAATATTTTCTTGCTCAGCCACATTTTTACTTTTCTATCTTTATTCATTCCACTACATAAACAGGATAATCATGGAGGGATTGAGCTGTTACCAACCATGTGAAAGCCCGGGCTGTTCTATCATTCAGCAACAACACTACTGTTCTGGCTTTCCATAACTGCTGCAATTGCTGTATTAGCTTCTCCATGGCATGGCCTGGAAGAGGTGCTTTGTCAGCGCAGGCATTCTAGCTCTGTCACATGACTGTGGAAGATTCAAAGTTTGAGGAGCATGCTTGGAGTGAGGGACAATATTTTTCCACCCAAGATCTCATGTCATGATATTTATGCACAGCTTTAATATTAATTTTGTCATGCATGATGATTTCTCAATGCCTTCCTGATAAGATTTTTGCCATACAGCTTCTCAGAGCCTGTATGACCTCTTGAAATATCAATTCAGTAATTTTTGCTGAAAAGCCCCCTTCCACAATTCCACATTTTCCTGTAGCTAGCATGCCAGAATTGTTATGAATCCTGTGGCACAACAACAGAACATACAAAATGATTGAATGACATCTGACAACATGAAATCATGAACTGTTATAGAAGAACATTAAGACAAGAATTATGTGACCAGTAATAGAACTGATAAGCTGACTGATCACATCAAGCATGATAGAATTGATCAAAGAACATAGCAAACATATTATAGTAGAATGGATAGAACAGCTTAGCAGAACTATTATCAGAGAAGCATCATGTATATAAGAATGCTTATTATCAGAGATCTGATGAACTTGTTTATTGTGATTAATCTTCTTACTTATTTACTAGATATCTTTAAATCAGATACTTTCATATCTTAATTACTTTTTATACTACTGAAGTTGTAAGGATTGTACATGTGGATCAGCATAACAATGAATCTATAGAAGAAATTGTATGTAGAAAAGAGTATATAAGGTAAAAGGTCTGGTATTAGCAACTATGTATAACTTGTAGACAAGATTGCCACTGGCTTTTAATAAGAGATTTGTGCAGTGGCAGTCTTTTATATGTGCTTGTGAGTATGTAACTTAGTATCTCACAAGAACACATATACTTTCAACAGCTTGCAAGCTGAGATTCTGAACTCTTACAGGTGTTGTTTGTTCATATAAGAGATTTGCAAACAAATTCTTATAGATTTTCCCCTCTTGTAAGTCTTGATCTCTCAAGACAGCTGTCTTATTAAAAATCTTCATAAGTAGAAAAACAAAACCTCTTGGGAAAAATAAAAATTTTCTCATAAGAAAAAGAGTACAGCCTCACTAGAGATATAATATCAACACAATTCTAATAGCATAACACAACATAATAACACAACAGAGCTTAATAACATAACAATATGTAGAGAGTTTCTATTGTTCTCACTAGCTCTGTATCACTATTAGATAATGAGCACTAGCTTAAGAAAGAGCTTTCTCTTGCTTTCTCTTTCTCTTCTTTTGAAACCAATTTAATTTAATTTAACTATGTCTTTTCTCTTTCTAACTCATTTTCTAGTTCCACTACCTCCATCCATCTCTTTTGCAAACCAGGCTTGTCCAGGTTCCTACTATGAAATTATTGAAGTAGCTTTCTCAGTGGACAGACATTGCTTACAGGAACTCATGTCTTGTTCTTCTTATTATCATAATGAAGCGGGGTACAATGGGATGCCTTGTCAAAGTAGGCAAGTTGGTTGAGATGGTGAGAGTGCAAGAAGAATGAAAAATCACAACATAGTAAGGATGGTAATGGCCAAGTAGTAAGAACAGAGAAGCATGCCTTAACAGACACCTAAGCTCATAAGGAATAATAGTACTAAAGAGCCTGTACTAACACAGGCAGCTCTAATGAGAAACAGTGGCAAGCTTCATGAACAAGAGATCTTCATATTCTCTAACTAATAACCAAACTAGCAATAAAGAATGAGTGTGTAGAAAAGTACAAAGATGCACACAAGTATTAAGCAAGATGCAGAGACTATAGATGATTTATATAACTCAGAAATAGTAGCTGAGAGAGTTTTGCATCTTGAACTGGAACAATCTTTATTCTAATATAATACCAGAATTCTCACTACATTTTCTTCTGGCTTTCAATGTTGGTGTCCCCTGACAACAGGCAATGTATGAAACAAAACAAAGACAATTTAGTAAAGAAAATAAGAGACTAAGAATTAGTAACAATCTGGTAAGAAAAAAGATAGAAAATAAAAATAAAGAAAGTAACAGCAGCAATCTCTAATAGTAATCATCATAATTCTCTTCTTTCATCAAGTTCTTGGGAGAAGAAGAAGGCCAAACTGATGCTGGATTAATATTATTATGCATGCAATGTCAATAAAATTTGTTACCAAAAGCTTTCTTTTTAATTTAATATGTCTTGATAATAACATTCAAAGCAATTTGCATGATCTTTAGACATCAGTTATTAATAAAGTTCTGAGCTTTCTTCTCTTCTGGTCCAAAGAGAGTATCAAGCTTCTCAATTACTATAGAATTGTTCCACCTAATTTAGTCTACCAAAGCATCTAATATAGCTTCTAAGCCTTGCAATTGAATAGCAGTAGGGAATTGATATGGAACTGATGTGTAATGGTTTGAATGGCTGGAAGGTGATGATGGCCCTGGAACTAGATCTCTATATACAGTGGAGAGCTGTAACCAGGTACCAGCTTCATTGACTTCAAGATGTTCATGGTCCTTCTGGATTGCCACATACCAGAGTAGCATAGTATGCCAGACCTTTTTGCATGGACTGTGAGCTCCATGGGGCAGCAGAGAGCTTGTAATTCAGATATTGCCAGATTTGCAAATGATGTTGGTCCACCTAATATCAAATTTTCTTTTGTTGTCTTTGGTATACATTGTATTCTTAATGTGGTGAACATAGCCATCAGTGGATAAGCCTTGTTCTTTAACTAGTCTCCACCAATTCTCTAGATGGTTATGCATTCCTGGCAAGATTTCTGTGCAGTTGCCGGGCTCTTCTGCCATTAAGGTCAAGAATTCTTGTATCATGTTAATGCTCCTTCCAGTAGTAATAGCATCTGAAATGTTGATATTGATATGGTGAAATCCAGTTTTATCCCCTGGCTTAGCATACTTGGCATAATATGGATAGGAGATTAATTTTCAAGTGTGGTTGGGTCTTGTCAGCATGTACTATAGGTAATACACAGGGTCCTGGTGCATGAGTTGTTGGCCAATACTGTGGTACATTGTTCTCAACCATCTGTAATTGTTGCAACCTCTCATCATTCACTGATGATGGTAGTACATATTGTATTTGCCATTGACCTGAGTGAGTACTGTGGTGGTGGTGCCTTGTAACCTATCATTCTACCAGCACATTAGCTGGAGAATAATGACAGACCCAGTGGTCTCCCATTTCTTCTGAAGATTGCTGGTAGTGAACTTGTTAACTCCAGTGATCTGTGTGTATTGATTAAAGTTGAACATTCTCATGTTTGTGACCAGAGGAATAATTGGCTGATGTTTGAATTTGTAAATGCCTAAAGCATCTTCAGCTCTAGCTGGTCTATTTGCCAAACAGAACCAGAGGTAGATGCTGTCATTGGTCTTGACTGAGCCAATGTTGTGATGATTCCTATGGATGTGAGCCAAACAGTTGAGAAGCTTCTTTCTATTAAGTGTGCAAGTCTGCAACCCAAGTTTTGAAGCCATTAGTTTTGCATGGTCATAGCATAGGTAGATATCAGCTTTCTTATCACTAAATGCCTTTCCTAATTGCTCCAGAATGCAAATAAGCTCCAATTCTGAACACATTTTAATACTCTTTATCTTTTGCAGGAGTTGCTGTTCAAATCCACAGCAATGACAAGTACCAGAGCATACTGCCATGACAGATTCTTCACACTTGTGTTGAGGTATCTCTTCATCACTTTCAGGAGGAATAATGGACTCATCATCATTGCCTAAGCCTTGGAGGGTTTGGTGTGCTGACATGGCTGCAATTCTTTCACTGTGGCACTTCAGAGCTTCTGATTGGCTGGATGGATTGGCCAGTGTGCTGGTGAATCCAAATGACAGCTGTGATTGGCCAGTTTCAAATCCATGTGATCTAATCAACATTGTGCTATGTATAGAGGCTCCCAACACATTGCAGCTATATGGCATAGACATTCCACTTATTGGAACATCTCTTGACAATCTTGGAGACTGCAGTCCTTCCAGTAGACCTCAGGGGCTGCTTGCAGTGGGAGGGCTTCTAGCAATATTCTGAATTAAATGTTGGGAGCTAGATGACTGTGGAAGAGCCAACAGCTGTAGAAGACTGTAGTTGCCAATGGTAAGGCCCTGTTGGTGTAGAGCATCTCTTGAAGGAAGTTTGCATATACAGTTAACTTCTTTGTTAGCTGTAGTATAATTGCCTGGCAATATAGCTAAGCTCTAGTGATATCCAGCCCCTGTAGCATCTAGTCTTTGGAGCACTGTGCTGTTAATATTATTGGCGAACTTATCCCAATTCTTGTAGACATTTAGGGTATGGCAAAGCTTTTGTGCTGCTCACAGGCTCTTCACTTTTGACCATATGGCATCAATCCTGTCAATACCCCATGTAGTGACAAGTCTATTCTTGATCTTTTGCATATCAATGCAACATCATTCAACATCCAGGGTAACCTTTTGAGCATCATGGAAATTGGCTTTGAAATTAGCATGTGTAACATGTTGCCAAGCTCTGGATCTTTCAACATATCAATAGAAATGGGCCACTAAGTCAGTAACCATGTCAGTCACTTGCATCAGTGCATTCATTAGCTTGATCTGTAGGCTGTAGTGATGATGTGGAGCTTGGTTATCAATGTATTCCATAGCTGCTGTTAGGTTATTGAAGAAATGGCCATCCAGGTTGACTCCACTGTCTCTGGTAATGACCAGGCCTTGGTTTTTGGGTGCAGGGGCTAGAGGAGGCAAGTTGCTTTGTCCAGCCATTTTGAAGAATATCAGTAATCCAAAAAGAATTGCAAATGTCAGAATAACAGAATAGAAAGCAAGAAGAAGTGTTGAAAATGTTGAATCTGTAAAAAGAATCAAGCTTGAATGTAAAAGACAGTAGAAGCTTCAGGGAAGAAAAATCAGTCTTTAAATATCTTCTGAAAAATTCAGAAAAAGTGAAGGCTTCTGCAAATAACAAAGAAAGAGAAACTTCCCAAATAAGCAAGCAAAAACTTGACTTTGCAGGCAAATAAAAGAAATCTTCCAAAAGAGCAAGCAAAAACTTCACTTTTGCAAACAAAACACAACAAATTAAACATCTTGTGGAGGTATAACAACAGCAAAGCTCCAGTCATCTGGTATAACAGTTGGTAATCACATTTGCTCTTAAACATCTTGTGGAGGTATAACAACAGCAAAGCTCCAGTCATCTGGTATAACAGTTGGTAATCACATTTACTCCATTTCTTCTTGGTCATTTTCATTTTTGCTCTCACTCTGACCTTGGTCATTCCCCCTATCCAAGGAGCTAACATCCAAGAAACTGCTAGAGGGAATATTAGGCTGGCTTCTTGTGGCATATTTTTGAGGAACATTCTCCATCTCTTCATCTGAATCTGCTGGGCTATCACTGAGCTGCTCCATTCCAGGTCTCATAAGGTACTTCTTTAATCTGCTTCCTGCAATAGATCCTTTGATTTCAGTGCTGTCTAACTCTTCAAGATGATAGGAACCTAGTTCTTGATTGGTGGACTTAACTCTATAGGGTTCTAGTCATCAAAAGTGCAGGGTGTTGTTTCTAGACATATTCTGTTCTTCTTTGATATTGTGAAGCAAGACAAGGTCTCCAGGTTGAAGAGGGTTGATCTGAATATTATGGGTATCATCAAAGTATTCCTTATTCTTAGTGTGCATTCAGAGCTGATGATATGCTGCTTCCAGAACATCCTCATCTCATTGTTTGATTTGGCATGCATGCATCAGAAGAAGGTCTTCAGTTGTTCAGACATTTTGCTATGGAATTGTTTGTCAAGTGGGAATCTCAAGTTCAACTGAAAGAACTGCCTCCTGGCCCATTAGCAATCTATAAGGGGAGATACCAGTACTAGCCTTAGTCATCATTTAATCCACCATCAGAATTGCAGGAAGATGTTTAATTCAATCCCTTCCAGTACCATTGATGGCTTTAGCTAATCTATCAGCCAAAGACTTATAACCAACTTCCACTATACCATTCACAGAAGGATTATAGGGCAAAATAATAATGTGTTTGATGTTGAATTTCTTCAGTAAGATCTCCACAACATCCTTATTCTCTGGTCCTCCATCCATAACAAATTTGGCAGGCAGGCCCCATCAACAGATGATATTCTCATAAAGAAATTTGGCCACAGCTTCAGCTGTTGCCTTCTTTAATGCTCTAGCTTCCACCCATCCAGTGAAGTCACATCTTGCAACAACCAAATAATTTCATCCTTAACAGAAAGGCATGTGTTTGATATTCACTCCAACTTTCTCTCAACAGATAGGAGCCCAGATAGAATGAAGCTCTTCACTTAATCTTTGCAAATCTCTTTATTAACATTGAGAACAGTGCTTCACATAAGCAGACACATCTTTATACATCTCTGACCACCAGTATCAAGCTTGTAAGATAGAGTATGTTTCCTCTTGCTCTTTATGGCCAAATTTGTCATGCATCATGTGTAAAATTTGTTTGTGTTGTTCTTTGTTGTCTACAACATGTCTTAGAGGCACACCAGATTCCACTCATCTAAATAGTTGATCAGCCTCCATCATATATTTAATTGCTTTCTTTCAGAATCTCACATACTCTTTTCCTTCCATGCCCAATGGTTTTGATAGGGTGGTTAGGTATTGTGCAATTTTCTCTGATTCTTCTGAATATGTGGAGTCCAGTATCCTAAGATCTTCACTATTGAGAGCTTGGCCAGCTAAAACTCTTATAGAATCCATAAAGGCAAACAGATCTTTGTCTTCTTCAGATTCAGGTTGTTCTCCAGTATCTAGTTCTTGATGAGACAGTCTGTCAGCAGCTGTGTGTTTTGTCTCAGGAACATGTTTAACAGTAAAGTCAAAGAGGCATATCCAAGCTATTTAATTAGTAACCAAAGCTTCTGGAACATCTGTAGCAGTCCTATTAAGTTGGGCAACAAGAGTTTTTGCATCAATTTCCAAGGTAAAGGGTACTTTATAGATATGGTGTTGGAATTTCTTGAAGACTTTCAAAACAGCTCTGCATTCTTGTTTGCCAGCATCATATGTTTTCTCTGAATCATTCCATACCCTGGATTCATACTGTGCAGGATGTTGAGCCCCTCATTGCTCCTGAATAATACATCCTCCTCATTCTAATCCACTGGCATCAATAGCCACAGTGATAAGCAAAGAATCTTGTCCATAATTGATTGGAAGAATGATAGGGAATGAACATAACTTTTCCTTCAAAAGCATAAAGGCATTATTTTGCTCTTCAGTCCATGACCATATAACATTTTGTTGAAGCAGATAATGTAAAGGTTCAGTTATCCAACTGTAATGCTCTATGAGTATTCAGAAATATCCAGCAAGTCCTAGGAATCCTTGTAATTCTGTAATGCTTGTAGGAGTAGGTCAATTTGCAATTTTAGCCACCTTAGTTTCCTCAGGTCATTGTCTGTCATAGTTACAGATCCATCCAATGACATTGACTCCAGACATGCAGAATTGAGATTTGGCACCAGAGATTCTAGCTCCAGAGATTTTGACAAGTCATAGAATATAGTCCAGATTCTGCAGATGATCATAAACAAATCTTCTTATTCCTGAAAGAACTTCAGTTTCATTTTTGACATGTGATCTCTTTACTCCAAGGTCATTCATAAAGGCTTGAGCAATCTCTGGAAAAACTTCTTGTATAATCTTCATTATCCCGCATTGGGCTTGAGCTGGTGAATTCATTGCCCCTTGAACTAAAGTTGTATGGTGAAAGAGCTTAATAGGGGTTGCAATAGCTGTCATATTCCTGCTCTCTTCAGCTAATGGAAAATTATTGTATCCAGAGAACAAGTCATATAGGCTAGCCATAACAAGTCTGCCAAAGTCTTCAGTGTATTCATCAACATTAGAAGGAATAAAAGCATCTCAAATAGTAACTTTGTTGTACATATGTGCTGCATTAACTAAACAATATTTGCCTTTCTGTTTCTTTGCGACCAGAAAATAGGGGTTGGTATATGAACTATGGCAAGGCTCCAATGTTTTAGCTTCTAACCTGTCCTGAATGATTTTAATTAGCTTATCATGTAGAGCATGAGAAATTCAGTAAGTCTTAGTCTGCCAAGCTTCATGAGGCTCTGTCTTAATAACCTGCAGAGGCAAGCATTCAGGATGAATGCCACATAGGTCTTTGAATGACCATGCCAATGCCTCTTCATGTTTATAAAGGACTGATATGAAAAATTCCTTCTCCTGACTTGTTAGTTCAAATTCAATTTTGAGCTTCTCAATTCTCTCATTTGTTAGCTGTTCTCCAACAGGAAAAGATGTAATTCTAGACCTAATGTGGTCATCAAATTTACAATTAAATGTGACATATTTCTCCTCAGGGTAATACTTATTTAAACAAACATCCACCTAATTATCTAGGTCTTCTGGTTTGCTTCCATCAGATTTTCCAGGTGCTAACAGCCTTATCTTATCAGCTTTCTGCTTATAAGTAGTGCACACTCTCCAGACTTCTGAAGAAGGCAGCCTGATGTCCCAGCCACTATTGAAAATGTCAACTTGATGTGATTTCTTCATGACAAAATTGTGATTTTTGTTCAGAGATGCATAAATTGATCAAGCACTTTGTGGAATAGGTTTTCAAATTAAGCTGGAATTAATATCACATGTGTAATGTTTGCAGTGAGCTGTAATGCTGTCTGGATCAGGAAGTGGAGAACAGAAAATCCAAACTTCTAATGCAAAATTATTCTTGTCCTCTGATTGGTTTATTTGATTCACCAGTGCACTGGTCAATCCAATTAGGCTTAGCACACTTTTGGATTCACCATCACCAGAACTATGTTTCTTCTTATTGCTGTAGTCATCAACACTGCTACTGCTGCCAACACTTTCAACTTCTCTATTCTTTTCAACCTCCTGACCTTCAACCTTCTCATTATTAATTCTTATACCCATTGTCTTTGTTGCATTTTCTTTATTCTCATCAGGCCTTGTATCCACAGGCACCTGCCTGATTAAATACCTGTTGAATTGTTTAAATGATCACTGTTCAATTTATCAGTTGCATATCTCATGTTGCTCAAGCTTGGCTTAAAGTCTTCAAAAACTAGGCAACACATTTGTTTCTTGTTATAAATTTTACAGTTCACTTCTCCATCATCTGAGATGTTGCATCCTCAACAGGCAGCAAATTGTCAAGATCTTCCAAGAATAAGTTGCTGATCCCCTCCCTTGAATATAAGGAAAGGGGTATGGGTAATAATGTCTCTAATCTGAACAGGCACTTCATCACAAAACACATAAAAAGAAGTGACTTCTCCTGTTTGAACAACCATGGTCACTTACAGCTTATTTTCCATCAGCAGATTCAACATTTCAGTGTACTTCTGAGACAACAAATTGATTTCTGAACCAGTATCAATCAATGCCATTAATTCTTGTTGGTTTATAGTGACTGGCGCATATAATAAACACATTCCATATGCTGTTTTGGATTTTGGTACCATGGGCTTCAATGTAAGTTGACTGGAATTGATCTTTAGCTCAGGCTGAACCAGTTTGGAGACTCCAACCTTTGCATGGCTTTTGCTAGTACTGTTATTCCAACCTGATTCAAAGAACACTTAATGAAGCTTCAGCAATACATCTATAAGCTTCTTGACTGACACTTCAACCTTCTCATTGAGAATTTGACCCATTAATTTATTGGCATCTGTTGAATCACAGATCTGAGAGAATAAATGATTTATTGCAGAATATCTTGGTCTTTGTTTCTTCATGATCTTGTTCTGAATTTCAGGCTTCTTCTGATTGATTGGTTCAACATCTTCCATAATATTGTTATTGACACTAGCTTGATTATTCTGGTAGGTAATAAATTGTCCAGTATGCTAAGTATGGGGTGTTGCAATCTTAGCTTTTTGACTGTTCTTAGCTTCTTCAACAGTTCCAACATTGACTGATGTTCTTTCTTCCAGTGGTTCATATTCCTTATCTGAATCAGATTCTCCATCAGACATTAGGTATGCAAGTTGTCCTGCTTGAATCTTCACACTGGTTGAATTTGCTGGAGGTGTCTCTTCTTGCTGATTGGTCTCCTTTTTAGGGCTTGTTGACTCTGGAATTGCCCATTCATCCTCTCCCATAGACTGTACAATATACATGTTTGGTATTCCAGGTTTAGGAGTGACAACTTGATAGTTTTGACCAGGGGAACCCATGCGCAAGTTCCTAGGCTGGTATTCAGGACTGGGACAGGATCCCATTTCCCATTGAACCTGGTCCCTGTCCTGAATTTAGAAACAGCCGGGATCCCAAATATGAAATCTCAGTCCCATGTCCCATCCCACTCAAGAGCTTGAGATCCTGTTCCCATCCCTATTCCAGAAATTATTTCCCAGTCCCATCCTCAAATAGAAAATTATGTCCCACATCTCATCCCAGCAGAGATGGTAGACTCCCATTTCCCATCCTGGCTGGGTCTATAGTGGGACCAGGATGGGATCAGGATTTCTGGTCCCATCATGTCAAATTCATAGAAAAGAGTCAAACTGATCAAATTTTGTGTGGACCATTACCAAATTTTGTTACTTTTTTGATGAAGGCGGAACCCATAGAAAAATCAATTTGATTGTCAAAAGAAACAAAGTATTAAAACTAACTAATAGCTGAAGCCAGCAAACAAACAGAAACTGTCTAAATGGCAAGTTAATCATCATCATTATCATCTTCATCATCATCATTGTTCTTCTTCTCCTTCTTCTTCTTCTTCTCCTTCTCCTGCTCCTCCTGCTCCTCCAGAACCAGCTTTGTGAACTGGACAGAGGCTCTAATACCCACCATTTGACAGGTGGAGACCCTGACAGTGCCAGGGAGAGGCAGGAAGGTGATGATAGGTAGTGGCAGTGGTGGTAGAGCAGCAGCAGTGGTAGTTGGTGGGGCAGGAGCAGCACACAGATGGCAGGTGATGACAGCAGGGGCAGGACAATCAGATGCATTAATCAGACTGAAATAGTTCAACTTAATTTTGGCACTGATGTCAAGAACAAGCTTCATATTGTTGGTGTTGACCATAATATACTTACAGTGCACCATTGCCATAACAGAGCCTATATTACTCAGTATAATTATTGGTGCCATTGCTAAGAATGACTTATACTCAAACAGAGTGCACAAAGTTGCTTCAGCCACCTCCTGAAGTGACTTAATAGCAGTATGTTGCCAGTAATATTCATGTCCTTGATGACAGGACAAAGTAATTTCCCAAACCAATTGCTGGAACAGAGCCACCAGCAAGATTAGCTTGGTAGAGCTCTGGAAGTGGCAGATTTCCTTAATGGCACCTATTTTCACCAATTAGCATCAAGACTGTTACTAAAAATTGTTACTTTTTGACATATGAGTGCTGGCCTTCCAATTTTGAACAGGGGGATGGGGGCAGGGATTCTCCTGGTTAAAGTTGGCCAGGTCAACATCTTTATTGACTTTACACCAATTGCTCTTCTTCAGAGCTCATTCTTTCAATGCAGTCTTGTGCCACTTCTCTCCAGCTGTGCAAAATGGATGTGCACAGGGAAAACTAATATCTTGTCAGTAAACAATGTGCACCAGAGCAGTATTCTGCAAGCACTCACCTCTTAATGCAACCTATTTTGTTGCAGTATATGTTCATTGTACATGTGGATGTTGAAGTGCAGTAAATAAAAAGATGGTGGGGGGGGGGGGAGAGGGGGAAGGGAGGAATTGTCAATGTTAGCCCTGAAGAGAAAGAAGAAGAAGAGAAAGAGGAAGAGAAGAGAAGAGAGACTGATCTGATGTTATTATCCTGTAGCCAGTATAGCAACAACACATTGATCTTGTCCATAGCAACATGCCTGTAGAATGTAAACAATGTGTATAGTAACCATTCTACAGTACTTGGTCAATACACTCTATAATCTCATTATTCTGTAGCCAGCATAGCAACAATGTGTTGAGCTTGCCTATAGCAATGTGCCTGTAGAATGTAAACAATATGTATAGTAACCATCCTATGCAAGTACTTGGTCAATATACTCTATAATCTTATTATTCTGTAGCCAGCAATTCAACTCATTGCATACAATTGTGAAGATGGGGCCAAAACAATATTTAATAAGAGAGAAGACCTGTGCAGCACAGGAGCACCACCAGGCCTTGAAAGGCCATCAAAAAGATATATTCAAGACAGGAGAGGTGGATTGCAAAGCACATCATGATGTGCTGAAGAGAATCTGAGCAAAACATGAGTGGTATGCACTCTCAGTAGTTTGCATTGAATTATATTGACATCCATTGCAGGCAGAATAGCAGCAAGAAGGATTGCAAGACAATTGAAGATAAAGCCATTAAAGAGTTGATGGCCAAGCAATTTGTCAAGAGCAAGTCAAAGAAGTACCATGAGCACCAGCTCATGGTCTCTCAGCAAAAGAAGAGGGAGGAAGAGAAGAAGTGTTGCTAAGAAGAGATTACAGAGACTGAGAATGAAGCTTGACAGAAAAAGAAGATAGAATCCAAAAGTAATGAAATTTGATAATGGTCCTGACATATTTAGATTAAAACAAGCCAGGTGCAGCATCCTATTGCTGCATATAGAGAGGCCCAATTCTGCTAAATGATAGTCAGGCTTGAGGCCAAGATCATGGCCCATGGTCATAATTGTCTTGCTGCAGTCAGTATGTCAAGAGAGAAAGTTGAGGAGGAGATGAGAGAATTTCTGAACTAATTACAGGGTTCAAGTAAAGACAACAACAGCCCACCTGCCTCAGAGAAGATGGAGAAAGATGATTTTGAGATTATAGTGTTCTCTGATGAGAATGATGAGGAGAACAATGAGATGGAGAATGATTGGATTATTGATATCTAGGGGAGGAAGTTAGATTTTTAGTTCTTTTTTCATATTAATTTGAGAATGGGGTGCCATTAAATTGGCAAAATGTTTTATTTTCCTGAAGAAGAATGTTCTATTTTGTAGAAGAAGAAGATTTTGTAGTTGATTGCTGTACTTACAGAGTAAAATGAGACTAACTATCTAGAGATTGTCAAATTTTGTGTGGGCTCTGACCACATTTTGTTACTTTTTTGACTAAGGCAGAACTTAGAGAAAAATCAATTTGATTATGAAAAAAAAAAAAAAAAAGAAAAATCTAATGGCTGAAGCCAGCAAACAAGCAAAATCTACAGAGGTTTCTTTAGAATTGATTATAGTTCAACATGGAAAAAAACAATTTGTATTATGGAAGGAGCTGCATCATAAGTTATTTGTTACTTGGTGGTTGACTACTGAAGCTACTCAGTTGGTTAATAATAAGAAGCATGGTGACCCCAACTGGAAGGCAAAGCAACATCATTCTGATTTTTGATCAAAATTTGATCAGGTGGCAGAGCATTCTAAGAGCACTCCAGAAGTGATTTGCAAGCATTGCCAAACCTTTCTCAGCCATTCAAGCTTTTCTTGAAATGATACAAGTGATCTGAAGAAGCATTTAACAAGCAAAGATTGTACAAAAACTGATGACAGACAGAGTAACACTCTGGTTAACATGATGGTAGGTCATGGATTCTAATTTCCCAAATGTAATGAATTTTAGTAATGGTTCTAGTGTCTTAGCAACAGTTTCCAAAGCATTCTCAAACAGATTCAGATCTGCCTGTTCCTGAATGCAATCAAGACAATTTCCTCCAGTAGCTTGTGCAAACATTAATATTCTTGAATCTCTTATTTTGTGCTATTGAGAATCCAGCATTCTGCACATTAATAATCATGCTAAATCCTGCAATGGCTTTACAGATACCCACACAAGGAACATTATATCAGATCATGAATGATATATACAATCAGCTATTTCAAAATCTTCTCTTTAACCATGACCCAACAATCAAGATATCTCTGGCAGTAGATAATTGGACAAGTCTCAATAATCTTGCCTTTATAGCAATTAATGGTTATTACATTATAAAGAATTGGGAGTACTGTGAGCATTTACTGAGTTTTAAAAGTTTAGAGGGTGCTCATACTGGCAAGAATATGACAGAGATTCTTCAACAATCACTAGCAGCATGAAGGCTTGAGAGCAATCTTCTTGCAATTACAAGTAACAATGTATTAAACAATGGTACCATGCAAGCACATCTTATATATCAGTTGAGGCCAGCATTGCAGCAGTTAAACAAGACAACTGATTGAAATGCAGAGAGTGAAACAATACTCTGTCTTGCTCATATGATTCAACTTGTGGTTCAAGAGCTGGTTTGCAATCTCAAGATTCAGCCAGACAATGATGCTCTACCCACTACCTTTGATGAGAGCTTAATTACTGATGACCTAGCATCAACAGACACATTTGCAAATACTCTTAGAAAGGTAACAAAATTTGGTAATGGTCTTGATATACTTGAGTTGATTTACTAATCTTTGCTTGACAATAGATTTGTCTTGTTGCCAATACAACCAATGCCTCCCCCCAACTTACTGCACATTTCTGAGAATATCAACAAGAGAACCAGCACAAGATGATCCAAGATGTTCACACAAGATGGAATTCCACCTATAAGATGTGTGTTCATGCCTTGTTGCTTCAACAAGCTGTGGACTCATAGATCCAGAACTCATCACCAAAATACCAAAGACTTCACTTATTGGACTATGACTGGAAGCAGCTAGAGTATATAATTAGACTGTTGCAGCCATTCAGTTGATTTATCAAGATACTGTCCAAAACAACAGACCCAACAATTCATCTGGTATGAGCAACATACAATCATCTTTTCCAGCATTTAGAAAGAGAGGAGAACAAGGCCCAACAGTTGATAACAAGAGAGAACATTCAAGAAGCTATCAAAGCTGCCAACTTGAAATTCCAGAAATACTATAGTGATACTGAGCATCCAAAGAGTGAGCTGCTAGCTGTAGCTGCTGCCCTCCATTCATCACACCATATGAGAGCATATGATTCAGAGAATTGGACCAGTGATGAGTGTGAAACATACCAACAATATATTTTGAGGTTTTACAAAAAGCATTATGAGAAATATGAACAGTCAAGAGAAGTAATACTTGATGTGAATGATGTATGTTTGTTATAAGTATTATTCTGATTTCTTCTCTGCTAACTTCTCTAGAATATTGAGCAAATGATTTTTGAGAGACTCTATCAAAGACAAGCAAATTTCCAAAATGAAATGGAGTGATATTTAAATGATGAGAATTTGACATCATCTCAAGCTCCAATTCTGGAACAGTAGAGAATGCTAGAGCCTGATTTTCCAACTGTTACTTGGATGGCAAGGGACATTCTGGCTATATCTTTGACAGAAGTTGGGGTAGAATGGGTTTTCAATGTTGCTTGAAATACATGTCATTATCAACAATCACAGCTCCATGCATCTACAATCAAGAAGATCATGCTGCTTAAACATGGAGATAAGGTGCATATGCTAGATGAAGCACTCATATCACATGAGGAGTTGGCCAAGAAAGTCATTCAAGACAATCAAGATGATCAAGATACCTCAGAGATTGTATGGGAAGAGATTGCAAGCCTGCTAAATCCACTACTCAATCCAGATGAGGAACAGGAAATATGTTAATGTTATCAATAGATAAACTCAAGTAGCTAATAGCTTGCAATATGATTCAATTATGCAAAGAGCATTACCAAATTTCAGTACTTTTCCAAAGTTGAATAAATTGATAAAATTATGTTAGGACTGTTATCAAATTTTGTTACTTTTTGACAACACAAATGGGACCAGGGTTCCTGGTTCCATTCTACACTTTACTGGTCCCATCCCATATATAATATTGAAATCCCAGTCCTATCTCATTTTGTCATGTCAGGTCCTGGGCCTGTCCTACTAGCTAGATTTTGATCCCAGTCCTAATTCCATCCCAATCCCAGTTCCCACAGAACTGTCCCAATATGCTGTTAAACAACCCAGTCCCATCCCATTAAGCTGAGCTTCAACCTGATCCCGTCCTCAGAACAGGAATTGGGACGGGAATCTGGGACCAGGACAGGAAATCCCGGAACCAGATACCACTCTACAAGTTCCCTTTATCATCAATATGACAGAACCTGTTATTTGCATCAGATTGGTATTTGTAACACTGAGATTGACAGTGTCCAGGTTTTCCACAGTAAAAGCATGAGGGATGTGTTGAAATTCCTCCAGTTTGAGCTCCTTCTTGGCCACTAGGATGATAGCTTGTCATTGGTGAACTGTTTTGAGTCACATAAGGATTGACTAATTGTGGTTGGGTGTTCTCTTATACTGTTGCAGAATTAGTAGTCACATTTGTTATATAATTTGGTATGGGTTTTGGAGGCCCTTCTCTCTGCAGCATATAGTACTGATTGGAATTCTCTTGTATCTGATTTGACTGTACTCTCATGGCCAATGCCAAATTTGTAAACTTGTTGGTCATCTTTTCAATTGCAGCTTCAATATTGGTGCTCTCAGAGCTCTTGGCTTTGGATTTTGATTCAGATTCTTCAGTCTTCACAGAACTAGCTGTTTTCTTTGGAGCCTCAACTGTAGGGGGTTTGTTAGCTAATTAATATTGCTCACCAAGCTTCTCCATTTCCTTCTGCTTCATTTTATCTTCTTCAAAGATCTTCTTATTCCCTTCATACTGGTTGATCAAATCCATGGTCACTTAAACAACCTTTCTAAAATCAATAGGTGACATATTGTCTGAAAGATTGAGCTTTGCCTTGTCAATAACCTTATTTCAGAGCTTCTCAGGCAGCCCCTGAAGGAACCAAGACATCTTAGTGAATTCATCAAGCCTTCCATTGGCTTGTACTGTACTGGCAATAGTAGTGTATTCTTGAACATAGGCACAAATGTTGCTATCCCAAGCATGTGGTTTCTTTGTAATTGCTTGAAGATAATTCTGACAATGAATCTTGTAAGTAATGTTCTGATCACAAAATTCATGAATAATCTCTTTAGAGAATACTTCCCAATTACCTTCCTTGTAGCCTTCTAAGGTCTTCATCCATTCTCCAATCCATGTAACACAGTACCTAGCCAACTGTTTGATAATGTTCTTAGGGTCAATTACCCCATGATCCTTGCACATTTGATAAAACCTTTCAATAAACAAGGTAGCATCTCTGCCATCAAACCAAGGTGCATTTGCCATGCCAGGGGAAGGCATAGGAATGTGGGAGTGAACCACAATTCTCCTGTCCTCATCTTGTGACATAGTCACATATGATCCTGTAGTACCTTCAACCATAGGTGATTCTGATCCTGATTTCTTGATTTCTTGATCTTTGGTCATGTCACACAGTATATTCTGTTGTTTCTCAATGATTCAATATCTTTCCAAAAAACCTATTTATTGGGCAAGCTTTAGATAAGAGCCATTCAAATCTAAGCTCTCTAACCTTGTTCCTAAACAAAAACCTGATTAGTACTGTATTCCTAGTCCATAAGATCTTATCTTGAAATAGTGTATTGCTTCATGTGTCTCAGAATTTGTTTTTCTTCCTTGGCAGCCACCAAATCACCACATCATCATCTTCAGGTCTCAGCTTGATCACCAAATGAAGCAGGGTACAATGGGATGCCTTGTCAAAGTAGGTGAGTTGGTTGAGATGGTGAGAGCACAAGAAGAATGAAAAATCACAACATAGTAAGGATGGTAATGGCCAAGTAGTAAGAACAGAGAAGCATGCCTTAACAGATGCCTAAGCTCATAAGAAATAATAGTACTAAAGAGCCTGTACTAACACAGGCAGCTCTAATAAGAAACAGTGGCAAGCTTCATGAACAAGAGATCTTCATATTCTCTAACTAATAACCAAACTAGCAATAAAGAATGAGTGTGTGGAAAAGTACAAAGGTGTGTGAAGGTATTGAGCGAGATGCAGGGGCTATAGGTGGTTTATATAGCTCAGAGATAGTAGCTGGGGGGGTTTTGTGCCTCGGACCGGAACAACCTTTGTCCTAATATGGTACCAGAATCCCCACTACAATAATCTTCTCAATGTACTCTGTACTACAGCTTATGACTCTCTCTCTTTGAGTTAATTATCTTACAGACCTGATACTTCTTTTCATTCTTGTTTATCTTATAAACTTCATGATGAGGTGAGCTATTGATTTCTTTGCAGGTCTTGTGCTTGTGGAGCAGAGATACATAAAAAATGTCATGAGTTTGCAGACCTGGAGGCAGCTCTAGTCTATAGACTTACAAGCCTATCTTCTTTACAATTCTACAAGGCTCATGCCTTAACAAATCCAATTTTTTGTTAGACCACATGATCTTGATATTGTGAAGATCAAGCCACATTTTGTCTTTCATCTGGAAAGTTTTTATAATGTGCTTCTGATCATAGTACTTCTTCTGATAGGCTTGTATCTTTATAAGTGATTTCTTGATCTTCTTGCAGAGCAATCTTATTATCTCTGTCTGATTCTTTAAATTCTTGCACATATAGTCATACTTATCAGAATTCAATAGATCTGTTTGCAGATTTAACTCATATATCAGCTGAAAAGATGATTTCTGTGTGGAGACCTGCTGTAAGTTATTGTATATGAACTCTGCTATTGATAATCATATCATTCAGTCATCTTAATTATAACTGATATAGCTTTACAAGTACTGCTCTAGTACACTATTCAGTCTTTCAGTTTGATCATCAGTTTGCAGGTGAAATGCCATGCTCATTACTCTTGTGATCTTCAAGATATGAGTCAAATCACCTCAAAATTCACTCACAAACAGAGATTCTCAATCTGTTACTATGCTTGTGGGTAATCTGTATAATCTCACTATCTTATAAACAAAGAGATGAGCTAATTTCTCTAATGTCAGCTTCTTTATTGTAGAAATAAAGTGAGCCATCTTTATAAGTCAGTTCACTACAACCAGAATACAGTTAAACTGTATCTTCTTAAAATTCAGGCTTACAGAGAGATCTGTAATAATATTCATGCTAATAAATTCTTAAAAGTAATTTGAAATTGATAAGAGTGATAGTTCTTCTTGAAGTTTTCCACAAACTCTTCTTGAGTTCTGGCAGACTCTACAGACTTTACAATACTTCTTTACCAGTTCTCTTATTCTTGATTAAAAGTATTTGTAAGCTATAAGCTTGTATGTTCTTGCTGTAGCAAAATGCTCTGCAAGAGGTAGATTATAATAATATCTAATCAGCTCTATTTGCAAGATCTTATTCTGAGAGATGTATATGCAATCATCTCTATAGAGAATGCTCTTCTTCTCTTTCTATATCACAAATTTCTTCATGCCTGTCTTAATATCTTTACAGATCTCAGCTGTATAGTTATTACTTTACAGTAAGTTTGGTAATAATGCTAACAGGTTAAAGCTGTTCTTCTTATAAGAATTCTTCTTGTAAACCAGATCTTTAATCTTCTGAATCTGTATTATAATCTTCTTCACTTTGCACATGTCTTTCAAGATAACTTTTGTGAGTAGTTTCTTGATCATAACTCAAAGCTTTATAAAGATGAGTTGCACATTCTCATCTTCTCTCTCTTCTCTCTAATTGAGAGAAACTTGGGCTGTCAGTTCTAACTTTTCTGTAATCTCTTGCTTTTTTGTAAGCATCATTCTCAGTTGATTTGCAGTCTTGTGACTCTCTGTATTATCTAGATCAGTCTTCTTGACATAATCAGGTCTTTACAAGAGTTCATCTGCCAGATTCTTGATTTCTTTCACATGATCAATTGTAAATCAAAAAACTGTCAGTCTTTGTGTCCAGTGGACCTGTCTTCACAAGAGATCTTAAGCAGTTTGGAAATAGTGCAAGCTATCATAATCTGTAAGAACTTGAACTGATATTCACAAGCCTTCCAACCAGCAGTATTAATATTTAAATAACTCTACAATTATGAGCAGTTCTTGATTATGAATGTCATAATTTATCTTTAGAGATTGCATCTTCTGCAAATAAAATCTAACTGGAACTCAAATACCATTCTTTACCAGCTGTAATAGAATACTATATACTGTGAAGCCAGATGCATCTGTTTCTAGTCTGATCTTCTGTTCTATATTAAAATGATAAAGTATAACAGCTTCTGTAAATGCTCTTTTCAGATCTATAAAGATTTCACAACCTTTTTCAGTTATGAAAATATTGATCTCTCTTCTTATCTCTCTTTACATATGTCTGCTTAGCTTTGCTTCTTCTCTCTTTAGAAGAGCAGTCAGACTGCAGACTATCTTAGAGAATCTTAAAATAAAGTGCCTGTAAAAGTTTGTAAATTCTAAGAAGATCTGAACCTCTTTCTTACTGGTTGGCTCTGGCTAGTCAAGAATAGTGTTCACATGATTCTTCTTCATAAGAACACCCTCTGGTGTTATAATATATTCAAGATAGTTAATCTCACAAGTATTAAACTTGTACTTTATCAGCTTGTAATAAAGATCTGCATTCTTAAGTATCTTAAGTATTAATTTCACATGCTTCTCATGATCTTTCTTGTGAGCTGAGTACACAACTACATTATTAAGATAAACTACTGTAAACACATTCAGATATTTACTAAGTGTCTTTGCAATATATGATTGAAAGACTGCTGGTGTATTTATGAGTTTAAAAAGCACTATCAAGTACTTAAATAGCTTCTGTGAAGTCTGAAATATAGTCTTCCACTCATTCTCTTTATAAATTCTCAATTTATGGTAGATATTCTTGACATTCAACTAAGTGAATATTGCAGCTCCCATAAGCTTATTGTGAGGATCATACATGTGGATCAGCATGACAATAAATCTATAGAAGAAATTGTATGTAGAAAAGAGTACACAAGATAAAAGATCTGGTATTAGCAGCTATGTACAACTTCTAGACAAGATTGCTACTAGCTTCTAACAAGAGATTCATACAGTAGCAGTCTTTTATGTGTGCTTGCAAGCACATAACTTAGTGCCTCACAAGAACACATGTACTTCCAACAGCTTGCAAGCTAAGGCTCTGAACTCTTATAAATGTTATTTGTCTGTATAAGAGATTTACAGACAAATTCTTATAGATTTTTCTCTCTTGTAAGTCTTGATCTCTCAAGACAGCTGTCTCATTAAAAATCTTCATGAGTAAAAAAACAAAACCTCTTGAAAAAAATAAAAATTTTCTTATAAGAAAAAGAGTACAGCCTCACTAGAGATATAATATCAACACAACTCTAATAACATAACACAATATAACAACACAACAGAGCTCAATAACACAATAATATGTAGAGAGTTTCTATTGTTCTCACTAGCTTCATGTTACTATTAGATAATGAATACTAGCTTAAGAGAGAGCTTTCTCTTGCTTTCTCTTTCTCTTCTTTTCTTTTCTTTCTTCTCTAGTCTATATTATTATTATTCAGATAAGTGAACCCTTCAAGCACTGCTTTATATGAGAGACAGGCTCACAGAAGATCTTTAATAATTGGAAGAATCAAAAATAACTTTATTCAGATGTTCTGCATACTTGATCTTGCAGCCACAAGTTAATGAATTCACTCTTGATTGTGTCTTTACTTTGTATGATCATGAAGTTTTGCCTTCATGTGGGATTTAATTTACAGAGAGGCTGATGCTTACTAGAAGTTCTTGCAGATTTGTAGTCTTCTCTCTCTTTCTCTTATAAATTATTACCACTCTTCTTTCTTGAGAGAACCCCCACTCTCTTCTTTATAAAAGAAGTTGAGTCTTCAGTAAGTAGTCTTGAGAATTTGAGAAGTGTTTATAACTGATAGTTCTAGAGTATTATTGCTTCTTCCTCTCTCTCTTCTTCACTAGTTATTGCTGCTCTTCTTCTGCCAGCTCAAGCTGTAAGTGCTTCTCACAAGCTAACATTTGATTTGTGTACTAATAAAATTAGAGTCCTGCTGCTCTATCTTTTCTCTCTACAGTTATTGTGCCAGCCTCAGCCAGAAATATGAGTATTCTCTATTATATTTCAGTTTATAGCTAACTCTCTCTAGATTATTGTTGCTGTTTCTCCTGCTCCAGCAGAGTTTGTGGGTGCTGTAATTCTACAGAGTGTCTGAGATCATCTAGCATCTCTCTCACAAGATCAACAATAGTAATTCCAGATCATCTTCACTCAAATGCTGCCAGCCACTACTTTTGCTGATGCTTTGTGGGCCAATCCAGTGGTTCTTTCAGGTCTTTCACCTCATACTGAAGCACAAGCTTTAGCTGCCTGCAAAAGAGCATAATATCACAAGTCTATTTAAAGACCCATGCTTATTGCTGGTTTGGATAATTTAAATCAGTTGACTGTTCACATCCAGCTCTGCAAGAGTATTCTTGTGACTCAAGCTGAGGTCCAGTCATCACCAGAATAGGAGTACCTTATCTGCAAGAGAGCTCAACAAGACTATAGTAATATAATCTTTATAGAGTGCATCTCTGCAGGCTTGGGTCAAAAATATAATAACTGTCTATATTATGGGCATCTTGCTTGCTCTTTCCAGTAATGAGATTATAGATAGTTGTTACAGATCTTTACAGAAGAAAGCTGGAGACTCTTATATAGTTCTTAGCTTAGTTTTTTCTTCTTTTGAGATTAATTTAATTTGATTCAGTTCAGCTTGACTATATCTTTTCTCTCCCTAACTCATTTTCAGAAATCAGAGCAGGAGAGCAGAGAGGTCATAAAAGAAAAGGGCAAGAGAAGAAGGAAATTGGAAGCAGACAGCAGTGAACACCAGCCTGCTGCTTAGAGTTGCTGATTGGAGAAAACCATTGTAACATGGCTGCAAAAATCTAGCAAGCAAGATAACATCTCAAGAGGGGCACAGGTGGCTTAGAAACCAATGAAGCAATACAGACTGTCCAGGTCCATCAGACAGATGTTCAGTGACTCTGGGGCAGCAGGTGAAAAAAAGATGGACAGCTGGATAATACAGCACCATTCCTGCAGGATGAGGGGGCAGTGCATCTGGGCACAGGAAACAGGACATGGGACAAGGGAGAAAGAGGATGAGGAAGTGTATTGCTGTTCAAGAGAGTGAGGTCAGGTTTATATAGATTGCCTGGCAACATTGGGGCAGCATGAGATACTGCAAAAGTGGTGAGCCAGGCACCATCCCCAAAGCAGCAATGGCTATGCTGCAACAGACATAGTGCATGTTGCGGACCAATGGCAGGCCCGATCATGGGGCTGGGCGCCCTGCTAACCAACACAAACATTACTATATAATATCTTCTTCATTTTATTGATCAGACATAAACTTGTTAAGTTGGCTTGTCGCGTGCGATGAGATAAGATAATCGGTGGCGCCGGCACGCGGTCAAGATTTTTTCCCCTTCCGGCCTAGCGCCAGAGGCTTGCCCCTACCATCATTGGCCGCAGAAACTGCCATCCCGCCTCTTTTCCCAATTGCCCTCGTTCCTGACAGCCAATTGCGCGCTGGTGTGCATCCAGGGCATCCCATATTCCCCCAGAGGCAACGCTGCCATTGATGCAGGCAAAGATTTCCGAAAGGAATTTCTTCTATGTGCAAGATTTAGTTTTTTGAAACTGTGCTGTTTGTCACATCCGTGTTCTCCCCCCACAGAGCTGCGAAGCTTCGTCTTGAGGTTGCTTTGGAATTCGCAGCGCATCTTTTTACGACCCTCCCTTCATCATCCCAAATCCCAGATCAAATTAATGATATATCCCTTGTTTTCATCCCCAACATTTCGCACAAAGTTGAAGTGAAGCCTGATCATAGAGAAATTCTTTTTTCCGCGCCCCCCCTCTCGGGAGGTGAGCAAGTCAGGGATCAGCGTCTCCGAGTGGCTTGCGGGGTAGTTAACAATCTTGTGAAAGGCTTCCAAAACGCCGCTATCGCTTCTAGTAAGAGAGGCGTCTACGATCGTTGACAATGCCTCTCGACGAGGAAGGGGCTAAATGGTCATGGTATGCATCGCTTGCCGCGGTAGGATGGAATCTTTATGTATCTCCCCGCTAACTTTAGATGCCTGCGTTTCAGTGAACCATGCATTCGAGGGCATCGGTCATCAAAATGCCAGCATTTCGATAGGCTTATGATGAAAGTACCTAAAGCTGGCCGGCCACTTGCAAAGTGCCCTCACCCCAAGGGTACGTGCAGTTGTCAGAAGGTCTATGCGTTCATGGTCAGAATTCCAAAAGGTGAGCAGAATTGAGATCATTAAAGTTGGCAGTTGCCGGTGTTAACCTCCACAGGCTCAACGTGCCTATGTCGACCCCTGTATCGCGTCCCTATGACTGGACAGCCATCTGGGAAGGTGTCGCCAAAGTCTAGCCCACCACTGTCAGTGGCCTCATCTTCTACTACGTCACAGCCAAATAGGGTGCAAAAGCGCACGAGGCGACAGAACAGCATCCAGTCGCAATCCGATGTTATAGCCAATGGGCTAACAGCTCTTGCTGAGGACTCTGAAAAGCCCAATTTAGAAAATGTGAAGCCCATTACTCCATACACTAATATGCGTTCCCCAATAGCTCCTTTGCAATGCCATGTACCCACTATCCCCTCAGAAGCTTATCATCAGAGCTTGGCAGCGCCGAGGATCAATAAATTACAGATGGCACTACCTGTTCAGGTGCCTAGTCCATACAACACCTCGCCATCCAACTTTGCACAAGGAAGCAGTCCTACACATGCTCTGACATCACCTACTCCCCTCTGTCCGGCTCCTTGCTGTGAGAGGGTAACGAAGTCCGAGGGAACCTCTGTCAATGCAGGTTCCACCTTTGTACACACTTCGCCGCAGGAAACGCGCCTATATACCTTTTCTGGACCCGATCCTTCTTCTATATTTCGACGATCGTCTGGGGCCCCAAAGGTCGAGTCCTCCGGAAGCTTGATGCATCACAATTCAAACGCGTCACTAGTATCTATGGACCAATTTTCCGCTCCCTTCTCGTTAGCTAATCCTCCTTACCGCAACTCATACCCCTCTCAGAGCCATATAGGAAGCGTTCATTTCGCTCAAGGTGTTCCATCCAGCCCGGCTAATCCCTTTCCTCATAATTACTTTGGATTCGAAAGCCAGCCCGAACATAACTGCGGCTGTGGGGATGGTTGCCAATGCCTGGGGTGTGCCTCCCATCCATTCAACGACACTACCCGCCAACATATTCAGGAGATGGGATACTTGATGACACTTCAAAGCAATGAGGAAGGCGACAACCGACCTACTTCGTCTTACGGTAGAAATGATTTTTCGACGCATCTGGAGGCATATAATCCACCACAGCATCCTTCGGGACAAAGCAATATACCGGGGAGTTTCACCGGTGATTTTATGAGCCAGTCTATCCAACCGCTCGCCAATGAGGCTTCCCTACCGACCCACGGGATATACAGCCAGCAAAACTACGAGCCATTAATGCAACCAGGGGCATATTACACCTTAGAATACCCAGTGGGTCTATCAGATTTTGCTCCTTGCACGAATATCATGGGCACTTGTCAATGTGGAATCAATTGCAAATGTATCGGCTGTCTTACCCATGATGGCCACAATGGGGTCTCTTTAGAACCATCTCCACCGCCAGATCGACCAAGTGGGAATGTAACGTCGACTACGGACAAGCCAGTACCTCAAACGCAACACAGGATGGAGCTACAACCGGAGTCCTTCGGCCTCAATCATCTCAAAACAGAGCCGACGATCATGGATTAGCGCCGTTTCGTCCGAACTGAGAGTCAGCCCTTGTGGAATATCCGTTTTTTTGGCCCATCCTCTTCACTTATAAGATAACCCCCGTACTTGTCCGATATCGCTTCAAACGTTTGTGGTAATATACATGCGTTTTGCTATTAAAAACACTAATAGCATTCTTCATTCTTGTATGTGATTTGTTAAAAATTTAAGCTGCACAAAATAATGCTGGGATTGGTTTATTTTTATATAGCGCTGGCCAACGTGGGTGCTCCGATTGCCGGGAGATTAATGTATAGATGGGATAAAAGGCTGAATGTATAGAGTCTGGTCTAATTTTCTTTTTTGAAATCTTCAACAATGGATTGTTCCTTTGCCATATGCATTGTATAACCAGTGGATATTGTACAGCTCTTTCTCCGCAAGAGATCTATAGACAGCTAGTGCTGTCAAATAGGCCAGATTTTCCACCTGTGTAATCATTCTCGCGGTCTTACCGAATCGCACACCGAGCATTTCGAGGGTATTCACGGCTGCCCGTCTTTCCTCCAGGGCTGATCTCCTCGTCGGAAAGATGCTAAAAGCAAGTCATAAATTAGCCGCCCATTCGTGGTGTATAATCATATTTCCCACATAATGTCATAGATAGACGCACCATCAGCTTCTTCCCAAGCCCGGCCGGCACCGAATCCTAATCCAACCCAGGCGGGCCACGCTCTTCGCTTGAACAGAAGCACGGAAAATATAACGCCAAAGGAAAGGCCAAGGCTGGATCGGATGAGGAGAGAGGAGATTGCGCGGTCCCACTGAATTCAGGTTAACATTCCAAAGGTTAGTCGATGGGCTCGTGAGGAGTAACAATCGGGTGCGAAGGTGCAGCGAGGGGAAGGGAAAGCAAGTCACCTTTTCGTTAAGCAAAGCTTCGCTGACCGGGCGGCTTGAACGCGGGACCGGCACGGCCGGCGCGGCGTCGTTAGAATCGGCCATGTTTATCTGACTTCTGCGATGGATTATCAATATGCAGTGCAATTGAGTGCGAGGGATCGATACAGTACCTTGTTGGGTGACTTGAGATCGAGCGGTCGCTGTTCGATTCCGGTTTTCTCGTGGTTTGCGGGTGTTTGGGGGTCCGGCGTCGGAAAAACAACGGCCGAGGCCAATCAGAAGTTCGGATACCTTTTTTTTCGAGAACGCGGAATTTATCAGAGCAGTGAAGCTCGGTCTTTTGTGTTTTTGGAAAGAGAACATTTTGTTCTCGCGGTGGCTCTGAAGATGGAGGTAAGTAATCCTAATGTACTGTTCGAAATGGGAGCTTTTTCTAACAGTTGGACCTTTGGTGCCCAGTCTCCGACTTCCTACACGGCCCTATTGGAGCTTGAAAAGGGCAGCCATGGCTCCCCGAAAGATCATTTAAAAGAGGCCGCGCGAATTATTGGGGTTGATTTAGACTCATATCCCCGGGGTGAGGAGCCTTACTTTTCTAGCAGCATCGCTGTCCAAGTCACTGCCGCTCCAAAGGAGGAATGGGTGCTCCGGTGGTTAATGAAGAAGTTGAAGGCCCCACTGAGCGAAGTGAATTCGAGTTACACGGTTGAAGAATCTTCGTGGATCCTTTTTCGTATATTGTTGGGCCGAATTCCTCCTAGAACGTTGGCAACAATTTTAACGGAGAACAAATTTTTGAATGTCCTGCAGAGTTCGTTGGAAGAAATAGAAGCGTTGATATCTCGGTCTTCTGGGCCCATTACACAGCATGGAGTCTCGAAATCTTCCTCCGGAAGCCGAAAGAGAAAGAGAACAGAGACTCCGGCTGAAAGCGGGGCACCGCCTGTTTCTTCTTGCCCGTCAAACTCGCTGGTATATACTTTCCTTTCAGTGGCGAGCACCGTGAAACGCCTCGTAGTTTTAGCCGATTCAATCCGCCAAGCTACGCTTAAGGCACAAGTGCAGCTTATACTGCGAGGGGAGCCAAAAATTGCGGCAGATTTGCTCAGACGGGCTCTTCGTTGTGCGGCATCAGTTGATGAAGTGTTGCGAAATAATCACGAATTGGACGCCGTGGATGGGTTCTTTAAGGACATGTTAGCGATTATAGAAATTTGGAAGCTTAGGTCGGATGGCGATGGAAATGCCAAGTTAAATAATGTTCGTGAACTTCCTTCTGCCCAGTTTGACTTCTTTATTAACGTCGCATAGGGTGTTTTCGCCTCAAAAGCCTTGGAACCTGCTCTGAGATTCTTCGCAGCGACTCTAAACGACACAAATCATTCTGAAGCAAGAAAAAGTTTTATACAAGGCATTGAGAGGCTAATCGTGGTGCACGTCGTCCTCCCTCTGCGGAGTATCTTCTTCGCGTCAGTATCTAAAGGCTCCGCCCAAGCCGGTAAAGCGATTCTCCCGAGGCAAGTTAAAGTAATCTCGGATGAATTAGTTTCTCAGTTACACCCCGACTCTATAGAGGCTATGTGCGGGATTTTCCCGCTTTTCTTGGACATTGCTATCCGTGCTTTACCCCGAGATACCTTTAAACGCCAGGTGAACGAAGCTCCATGGTTAGAAACGCTCTTCGCAACGCTGTCCACCCAGGCAGGCTACTCTTTGTCAGCGGATAAGCGACTTGAATCTCAGACCAGTTTTGTGTTATTACAAGACCTGCTCCAAGTTGTCATTGACCGAAATTTGACTTTGTCTCTTGATACGCTTATTCAATACACAGTTCGCTTTTCTGGATTGCACAAAGACTATCCGGCAGAACCACAGTGGGCATTAGTGTCACAGATTATTCAGATCGGCGTCGATGTTTTCTTGCCGAACTCGGGGCTCGATGAATCGAAATATCTCCTAGAGTCTCTTATCAGCCAGGTAACTTTGCTCTGTCAACAGCCGGGGGGGTTTCCCAACGGTGTTTATGCACTAGTTAAAGACGGTATTATTCTTCCTTTGCTCAATGGATTCTTCGGGGCGAGAGATAGTGATACATTACTCCGAATTTGGAACGAGCAGCTTCGACTCCTTGACAGTGCGCGTTCGAATGATAAAACCATCCCCCCATTTTCTATTTGGGAAGACGACGACTTTTCCAAGTCATATGGGACATTAGTAGCTAGCAGCGTATCGACCCCGCACATAAATTCTCAAATTGACAAAATTGTTTCAACGCTATCGCACCCCGGGCACTCATCGGAAATCTATGCTAGTCTTGTTTTCCTGGATTCGATTTTACTTCCAAAACAAGGTAAAAAGGGAGAATCCCTTCGAGCGCTTTATCGTCAAACCATTTTCGATACAGTGGAAACTTTAATCCCTCTATCTTCCGGATCATACTGGAGGTGGCGGCTATGGAGAATTCTAGGAAGCTCGGTGCATGTCGCAGGCATTTCCGACCAGAACGTCTCTCGCACTGTGACAACGTCTATTCTACCGACAGCCAAAAGGATCTTCGAATCGTTTGACCTGAAAATCGGGGACTCTAGCGACATTGGACGATGTCAAGAAGCATTTTGGTGTTTCAAATTCGTGGTTTCCCTTGCTGGGGAGCTCAATGATGACCTTCTTAGTGATTATCTCGATAAACTGGTTCCTACTATCGTTTCTTTGTTAGAAAATATACCAGACCCCAGGGCTGTTGTGTGGGACGGCCGTGTCGAAGGGATTACCTCCCCACCAGTCATCGCAAGTGGTTGCCTGTCGACGTTCCTCGCGAAGGGCCAGGCGTTGGCGTTGCTCTCGACAGATTTGCGGCGTCGGCTTCTCACAACACTCCTCGCCACAGTTATGAAAGCTACTGGGAGCCGGCAGAAGTCGTTAGAAAACCAATTGGTTCGATCTGGTAATTCTGGCATTCAGCTCGCCGACCTTTGGTCTGGTTTCGTATCGCGAGAGTTCCTCTTGGCCTCACCCAATGTTGTTTACGACCTGACGTTTGTTCTTTTTGAACACCTAAAGAAAGCTGGATCAAATTGCGATACCATCGCTCGATACCTTCTCAATATCCCAGTTCGGCTGATCCCGCGCCTCCAAAGGGGAAATCTGTTAGACCTTCTCGAAGAAATTATTCTACAAAAGAAACTTCCTTCAGATGTAGAGCTTGACATATTGACTCTGATGACAAGGCTGGTAGATGCACCGAAGTCCCCCGCGAATATCACCAGTAACGATCAAGCGCTTTGGAAACTTGCAGGTTCGATATCCGTGGGCAACTCAGATTCTGACCTGCAGCTCTTTCAGGCTGTCAAACAGCTGCACAAAGCAGTGATAGACAAGGTTTTGATTTCCTCAGAGGGAAACCTGGGAAAATACGGCCAGAAAGTCTACAGTGCCATTCGTGAGCCGAAAAAGACCATGAAATCTGTTGATTTTGAGACGATGGAATATTACGTGTTTGTACTATCCCTCCACTTACTCCACACTCACAGATCCGAACTTGATGAAAAGAAACGTGAGCGTATCGAACTCTTGCGGAAAGAAATTCTCACCCAAGTCTTGTCGGAGTTGAAATCCCTATCTCGAAAACTGAAAAAGCACCCGGAAGAAGTGGAATTAAAGCCTTTGACTGGTATTTTCGCAGTTGCGGATACTCTACAAGATTTGCTCCAAGGTAACAAAGACGCCTTGGGGATCTTGCGGAAGCTTGAACAATATGCAACGGCGTCTGATTGTGATGGGGTTGTACAAAGATTCGTTAAACGGCGAATGCTGGCATGGAAAGCAACTAGGCCACAAATCTGTACCACACTTTTGGAACAATCTTCCTTGGTTTCAGTCCAACGGCTTCAGGAGAGCGATGAGAAGCTCACTGTGTATGAGATCTATTCGCAGCTGTCCACCCTGTCGAAAGATGCGCTTATTGGTTTCCTTCGTGATACTCGCAGCTCCGGATTTCTGGGAGACCAAGCAGCCTATCGTTTATTACTGGTGGGTATAGCTCTAGGCTTATTGGACCCTATTGACGACAGAGAGAGTCCAGCGTCTTTAGAGTTGACTTCAACATTTACAGACGCGACGGAGGCACTATTACTTTGCACTTCGATAGAGCCGTTTTGCTTAGCGGCAGAGTGTCTCGATATCCTCCTACGCACACAGCCGCGTTCTATATCACAGTGGAATGTCGATAATCTTCTTGCAAAGGTTGCCGTCGTAGTATCCCCATCTGGGCCTAAAATCCCCTCGGAGTATGCGGGGACCATATTCGCACGGCTCTGCCGGCTGCTAGGAATTCTATTTGGGTTATACCGCAAGAAGCTCAGTGGAAGATTTCATCTTATCCTTCCAACCTTGCAAAGAATGCTGCGATGTCTCTTCGCCAGCGATTCTAGGGCGACGAAGTCGTTGACATTGGCAGCGACGCATCCAACGTGGATCGGAAGTGGGAGTGGAACACCATTGCAACCTGAGCATGCTGCCCAATATACGCGTCTCTTGACTTCGCTGTGCGACCCTACCGTTTCCGCCGTGGAGAACCAGCGCGGCGGTCAAAGCCAGGGATTGACTGATAACACGAAGAAGGTGAAAAGCCTTGCTGGTCAACACCTACAATACCTTATCATGGAGTACGTAGGAGCACAATTGCGAGGCCATTTGGCCCCTGAGATCAAAGCTGCGCTGATGCAGGGCTTTTATGCGGTGCTGGATGTCATGTCGAAGAATACGATGAAAGCCATGAACGCGGCCATGGATTCTTCGGCAAGGGCAGTCTTCAAGGGGCTATATGATGACTATGTCAAGTTTGGGAAATGGAACCACGATTGATTTGTAACGAGTCCATCACGATATGTCAGGAGACGCATTCTCAGCCTGCTCGAAAGTATACAATACCCATAAATGGTATCCCGCCCCTTTTCCTTCGCGCCGTTCGAAGCGGCTCTGCACTTCTTTGTATCTCCGTTAGGCAGGTATAGCTGTTGTCGTGACTTCATGCGATTTGCAGCTCCCATTTCCGGAAGCCGACAAAAACGCTCTTTCCCCGCTTTTAACGGCGGAGTGGAGCACATGAGCCGCAAGCGGAGCTTCTCAAACACTGCAATTTGATTGGTGCGCGAGGGAGCCAGACCTTGCGCATGACGTCATCCCGCGCGCTCTCCAAAGCATCGCTCCCTCGTCTTGCTAGGCTTGCTTCTGGTACGGCCAGAGGTCGGACGCTGGAATTATGCTCGGGATGATGAGATGTGAGGACTCAGCACATGTCTGGTAAAGGTGCTGAAGTTGAGCTCCCCGGGCGCAGCGATAGTTAGCCTTCATACGCATCTGTAGACAGTAATATCATCTAAAATTCAGCTCCTAGAGGGAACGGGGCACATTCATCGTTCAATTGACCCGTGTACCGTTGTTCAGGGCTCCGAGGCTGGAGGTACCAACGAGGAGCTCGAGCTACGTAACGTCCATAAGCGAGTCAAACAATGCAAACCTGGGAAGTCTGTAACATGAACAGAACTAGTGGCTGCCTTGTGCTTACACCAGTTGAGTCAACAAGGGAAAAAAAGCCTATCGACGACGAGCCGCCCGGTGAGAAAAACATACAATTCGGTACTACACAGCGATTCACAGCTGTATAGCAGCTCTTGGTTTGTCTAGCTTTGCTCAAGTGAGCCACTGGCATCGTGGTAGGATCTCCGAACGTGACTTGAGCCGGGGTAGAACAAGAAATTGTGAAATATAACAGGAAGTTTCTGATTCTCCTGTCACAATGCGGTTCGGATTCTCTTCGCGTACAGCTTGCGGTCGAGGCTCGATTCGTGGTTAGTTCTCCTAGCTCCCAAGGAGTGAAATCCGGTGCTAAGAATTTCTTGAAGGTCTCTGGTGCACGTATTCCTACTCTTTGCAGAGGCAACAGTTTAGCTTTAAGCGACTCATACATAACAGGACAACTGCGGCCGCCGATGCTTTACCGAGCACTCTGAAGTCGATTACCGAGACAAAACTTAATGAACTTTCAAAGCAGCAAGCGCTCTTTGAATCACGCAAGGAGGCCATTTATGGGGAAGCTGCGAAACAAAGGACCCTTGATGACAGAGTTAGAGTGCTTCTTGAAGGTGTGACTCGTCTCCAGGGCTTCCCGGACGATGGTCTAGATACTACCGACAAGGATGATGCCGTCCTCCGGTCCGACGGTCAACGCCTCTCAGCTAGGAATGTTTACCGCAATATTCGCCGCACCCTGGTTCAGAAGCGATACGATTCGTCCATATCAGATTCTCGACTCGAACAGTCTGAGGAAGAGCTACGAAGGCAGCTACACTTTATCAGCGCCAAGTATGAGCATGCTTTGTTCTTCAACCGCCTGGTTACGGAGTGGCTCTCAAGCCCTCGGAATCCTGTCCCCGAAGTAACGAGCGGAAATTCAAATACTTCATATGAAAGTTTGGAACGCAAAGAAGCTCACGAGCAGCGCGTCAAGTGGGAGGCTCTTGTATTTGAGCCTCAGCAGACTGATAGCGCCGAGATTGAACGTTACCTTACAAACCTGTTCAAACAATCAAGATTGTCCGAACAAGCGCTGAAGGATCTCCGAAGACAGGTAAAATTATCCAGCAAGGAGTTTCTGGCAAAAGACGACCATTTTACTGTTCAATCCCTAAAATGGGCAATCAGGGGGGTGATCAGCAAGGACATCCTGGCTCGGGAGAAGGTCGCCATTCTTAGGGAATTTCTGGTGAATGATGCTGTTGCACAGGAGGTTGCGGATGTCTTGAACGTTCGGATGGCCCAGCTCGACACCTGGTCTTGGAGCTGCAGTCCAATCCCCGTGGAAATGAGACGTCACTTGAACGGAAAATACCGAGCATATATGGACGAGGATATCCTGGATGCTATTTTCCTCCACTACATTGGAGTGAAGTGGAGTATCAAATTTAAGGAGCTCTTCTCCGTAATTTTCAACTCTCACGCGTGGAAGCGCCAGTCTACAAACATCCCGAAGCGAGACCTTGAGCGGCGGAAATATTTCTTATACGAACAGGACGGGGCATCCCGGGACGAGCATAATATTGTGGGAGCGAGGAGAAAGTCATTCATGGAAAATTATTTTATGTGCCAGTTACCAGCAGATGCCGATAGCATACCTGTGTATAATGAGGATGCCGACGCAGATGATCAAAAAAAGAGCTTTATCGACCTCAAACACTCGCTACTTCACCTTGTTATGGCAGAGATCTGGCTTAACAAGGCGCTATACGGTGATGTCACTATCGTCCAGTCCGATTTTCGATGGTTTGGCCCGTCACTCCCTCATACAACGCTCCTATCCGTCTTGAAGTTCTTCCACGTTCCTCAGGTCTGGCTTGACTTCTTCAAACGTTTTCTTGAAGCTCCTCTGAGATTCGTCCAGAATGGTGATAGTGGTCCTGTGAGGATACGGAAGAACGGGGCACCGCTGAGCCACACCATAAGTGACTGGCTTGGAGAAACATTACTGTTTTGTCTTGACTTTTCTGTGAACCAACACGCAGATGGGTTGCTTCTTTATCGGCTGCACGACGATTTCTGGTTTTGGGGTCAAGAGCAGACTTGCGCTAAAGCGTGGAAAGCTGTCAACGAATTCTGCACCGTGATGGGCCTTGAGATTAACGACGAGAAAAGCGGAACAGCTCGGCTTCATGGTGGCAAAAGACGGTTTTCGGGTGATACAGAAGGCGAGCCTGAGCAAAGTCCTTCGACAATCTCTACGGATCTCCCGGCTACCCTTCCAAATGGAGACATTCGTTGGGGCTTTCTTAAGCTCGACGAAAGGACTGGAAGATTTGAGGTCGACCAAAGCCAAGTAGATACCCATATCCCGGAGCTTCGGCGCCAGCTTGGTGCATGCAAGAGCATTTTCAGCTGGGTTCAAGCATGGAATACCTACATGGCGAGATTCATCAGCAATAACTTCGGCAAACCGGCGTTATGTCTAGGGCGACCACATATTGAGATGGTGCTTTCGACTCTAAAACGTATAGAAAGTGAGTTGTTTGTTGTGGATGGTGACGGTTCTTCGCCCGGCAGTGCTGCAAACCACCTTCGCCTTGCAATCTCGAAGAAGTTTAATATTTCTAACCTCCCGGATGGATTTTTTTACTTCCCTGAAGAGTACAGTGGCTTGGCTTTGATGAACCCGTTTGTGTCCCTGATTGCGACGCGCGAAGCTATCAAAACCACTCCTGAGAGGATCCTCCATGCTGCGTTTATCGCAGAGGAGAAAGAATATGCCATGGCCAAAGAGAAATTTGGAAAGCAGGGTCCTAACCAGGCATCTTTCTCGCTCCTGAGCTCCAACTCGTCGACAGTGCGTCCCTCACTCCCCAGCGCGGAGTTCATGCCCTTGGAGGAGTTTGTGAGGCACAGCGAATCCACAAGTTACCTGCTAAAGAACGCCTACCAGCTCCTTCTGGAGCAACCCGAGGAAGTGCCCGCTGCTTTCACGCCAGAATTGCAAAATGCAGTGTCGAAGAATGAGGCGATCAAGAGCCTTCCAATTGATTGGCACAGGATGTCGTCGTACTCCAAAAACATTGTGGAATTGTACCACCGGGGGATGATCAGCAAATACGGCTCTCTGGCGGGGGCGGAGGATAAGACTCTGCCACTGGGCGTGGTGAAAATTCTAAAGAGGGAAAAGATCAGATGGCACAGCTGGCTGTGAATGCGCGCTTCCCTTTGAACAATGCTTGAACATGATTAATGAGCTGAGAAAAGTTGTAAGCTATGTGACAGAGCCATTAAAACACGATACCCCTCCCCTCAGCCTATAGTATATGGAAAATCTTGATCACCACCCTTATTTAACAATTGGATCTAATGTTCATGTCTCTTGGTGCACTGCTTTCGCTACATTCAGGCTGTTTGATGGTGTAGTATCGAACTGGCAATTGTTTTTTGAGGCGATGGGCTCATGGTATCACCCATTGGTTGTAACACCAGACAGTGCAAAGGACGCGTCAGAAGACGGTCCAAATTTTGAGGTGGGCTGTGCAAGTACAGGGCTCTGTTCAACTATTCAGTCGGTAATATGGATCATCAGTACGGATGGTTGAGAACTCCTTTATTGAGTGATATCGTCTCATGTTGCATTGAGGGGCATCTCCACGATGAACCCCAGCAAACCAAAGTATTGGGACATTGTTGAAAATGCCGGTCCTATTCCGGTCAAAGACACGCTCCTGGATTGGTGACAGCCAGCGGGCATTTCTCGATATCATCCCTGATTTGCAAGGTTAAGGGCATACCGCGCATTCCGTTGCGCGTGATCATGGGCGTTCGGGATGCCTGTCGACGGAAATAGATTTCTGAGAGCCTCCGCAGCAACGCGGTTGTCCACGGCGTTGACCAAAAAAGGGCGCTTGACAGCGTCCGGGGACACCACGTGACAGCATAGCCTCGTCGAACTTCCCGCGTCGTCATATTGGTACTACGTATGTAAAACTCCCGGTAGCAAGGACGGCACGGCATGGGCGAACGGACGGCCCATGGGACGGCCAGCGGGACCGTCCGGGGGAGCCCACCAACGATGGCAGGGCTGAGCCAACGTTTTGCATCATTGTGCACCAACAGTGAATCTAATCTAACCAATGATCCAAACGGGACCCTGTTGCGATTCCCGCAGTGAACAGGTCCTGCCTCCTTCATGGATGGAATAGTGTTCCTGTTCGACGGAGCGCTTTTAGCTACCGTTCAGCTTTGGCCATTGCATTCTTAAGAGCACATCTGGCCTCGAGACGGAGCTGAGTTTGTCGCAAAAAACTGTTGCAGTTGGAGCAACATTCCATTTTCAAGATGGCAGCGGCACGGTTTCTTCTCCGTCTTTTCATTTTATCTTCGCTCTTCGCTGTATGTACCCTTGCAGCTGAGGATGGCGATGGCCTTATCTTCGGGGACTCTCGTCGAAGACCAGAAATTCGATCCCGCGGCCGGAGCAGCTTCGGTCGGATGGCTCGACGGCCCAATCGGTATGGTTCCCGATTTTGTTTTTGTCCGTGTTCGCGACCATAATTCAGATCAATACGGAGCTTTTGCCAACTCTCACATTAACACGAACATAGACTCCATATGTTCCAGGGGGATCACGATGGCAGAGCAGCAACTACATCAACAACCATAGCTATCACCCCAGAAAACCCGGTAGACAACTCGGCACCGTTTTCACCGCCAAAACAAGCACGTGGCGTCATCCCCGTGCCCCGCATACCCAAACCCGCTACTCCACCACCGCCGCCTCGGTTTCCTGGGCCTCACGGAAGACCGCGTCCCATCATTCCTGAGTTTCCTTCGTCTCCCGATCCTCCTAGGTCTCCCAAGTCTCCAAAGTCTCCCAAATCTTCGGACCGTCCCGAATCTCCGGAGACTGGAGGGGACGGTCCTTCTTCTACCTCTGATCAGGAGAACCCGTTGCCGAGACCTACAAGCAACAACTTTGGCGGGTCCGGATCGAATTTTAGATCAGACAGACAGGTTACTAGCGTGGGAAACACGTTGAATCTCCAACACGCAGTTTTGATGCTCGCTCTGATGGCGACCGGGGCGATGGCTGCTGCGTAATGGAGATAATAGTAGCGATCCCACCACGAAAGATACCCATCTATTTTATTTGCGTTTCTCCTTTTCTTCCTTTTTTTTTTTTTTTTTTCAATTGTTCGGGTTCACTCATAATGAAACGCTTCCCCGGAAAATTCTGAGAAACTTTCCTGCGTGACACCTGGCCATTGCCCCACGTTAACCAAGCCGACTGCCGTGGAATAGCGCGAAGTACAAGGAATCTGCAGATTTTCGACAGCCGAGATACGTGTTTACTCGCTTCTGCTTAACGTGCAGGTCACAGGAATTAGCTTCTATATCCGTGGTCCCATTATCCTTACCGTGCGTGAGTTGGCAGTCTTCAATGTACAACTACATTATTGACTCTCCGCCTCGCATTTGTGGATTGGTGCCAGGCCAGGGAGAGTGATCCTGACGAGCGCAGGTCTGATGACCACTTACACTTCCGGATTCGTGATGGCTTGCAAATGAGGGGATGAGCAGACTATATAGAGGCGGTTACATTTGATTTACACGCGAGGCTGAGGGTTATTTGGCCCAGCGACTTGGGCAGAAGGGTTGGTGTCGACGGTTCGGTTGTTGGCCAATGAATATCGAGGAAACCAGGCACGACGTGGCTTCGACATATTCGACGTTGGCCGGTGCATTTCACAACTGGAGGTGTCGCGGACTGGGTGTATTTATATCAACGTGTCCGTTATTATACTCCACTGAAACTTAGATTTATGTCTCCCTTTCCTGAAGCAAGCCGTGAGACCTGACGGCTGTCATGCCCAAGTATATGTCAATGAGCACGTAATTTTTTGTCAGCAATCGCCTGCTGGTGGTTAACGTGACAGGGTGCTTGCCGGTTTCCGGAGAGCAGGCTGCCAATTGTCAACAGGATGAGGTGACAACAAATATCGTATGTGGAATGAAATGAATCATCCAAGAAAATGCGGTGCACGCTCTCCAGCAAGGAGAGAGCCCAGCTGAGCCAAATCAATATTTATAAGTACTGAACAGGCATCCTCATAAGATTGTCATCTGTTCCACTCTTGCTGCCATCAGGCCCACCGTCAGGCCGCTGGGTTAAATCGTGAACAGTCCTCGTTTTCCCTTCCGCCACGGGAACAAGGCAAGTCGTTGGCTTGTATTTGAGGAGTTTTGTGTGGCCTGTTACATAAGCAGTCGATCAGATCGAGCCCCTGACGTCGGAGATTTGACTTGCCGAGTGTATTATGTCATCCCGCCGCCAGACTGAACCTTGAGGCGGCATCTCCACCTATCACGGCAGAGCGGCGGGCGGCCGCTGAGGAGGCCGGGCATCAAAAATCTTGATTTGAAATCCGCTTCGGCTGCTCGCGACTTTTTGAGGGGTCGCGGGTCTTGTCGACATATTTCGCGCTGGCCCTCAGATATATCTTTGCCCTTGTCATCACTCCGTCCCGCGCTTTTCCGTGTTTTACATCCCTCGGCCATTCAATCACCAGCTGATAGGTGAGTCAGCCGCCTTTCATTCTCGTGCATCTGCCGCTACTCTTGCTTGAAAGGAGAGTTATGACTCCTTGTCGCAAAGAGCTAGCCACTCATAACAGCGCCAAACGCCCCTGTTCGGAGTCCAACTGCGGCTAGGCAACGCAGCTAATACGTCGCGGCTTAGAAAACATTTTCCTTTTTTCCCCAGTCATCGTGCGGGAAGCGCAGTCATCAGCGCTAGCGAAGCCCGGTGGAGACTGCGCCTTCTCATAAGCTTTGAGATGATTCTTCTTCCGCTGCCAGTCAACCGCCTGTCTTACAATGCTATTCGCCCATCGGCTCTGTCCCCACAGATGAGCCTCATCAACTCAACTTAAGAAAACTATAAATACGTGTGAAGATACCCTTGATCGAATCTAGAGTTTTGATATGTATCACTCCGATATTTCATCAGCTTGTGGCTCCCAAGGCAAGGCGGCTGCTGTGACTGCACTCATGTCAGATATAAGTGGAGAATCTGACTGCTCGAGTCCGCGCGTCGGAACTTCAGGCCCGATAGCAGTTGTTGCACTCATCGAACAAGCCGGCATGGCACAATCAATCTCCAGCAACGGCCTAACCGGAAGTTTAACCCGGCCCAGACTGGCCGTGAAACGAGCGCGCGATCCCCCCCGAAACGCAGGCGGTCAGATATACTGCGATCATCCAGAATGCCGCGAGAATGCCCCCGTATTTCGGAGGCCATGCGAATGGAAGTAAGTAATACATGTTCCACCACCCCAGCCAGCTCCTTCGATGATCTTCATCTGTGTTACACCGATGCTAACATTATACCTTGTTTGTAGCAAGCACATGGACAAACACGACAGACCATATAAATGCTCTAATCCGGACTGCGCAAAATTGCCGGGATTTACGTATTCCGGTGGATTGTTGCGCCATCAGCGGGAAGTGCATGGAATGCACACGCCGCAGAAGCGGCTCATGTGTCCCTTCGCCGACTGCAATCGCAGTTCCGGGAAGGGATTTACACGACAAGAAAACTTGAACGAACATCTCCGACGGCTACATCGGGGTTCTCAAGACCTTACCGTGCCGCCTACGCCAAGAAGCCCTCCTAACTCAGCAAAATCGCTGGAAGATGGGCGCCTTTCCGCGCTCCCGATTCACTCAGCCATGAAGAGGAAGCGAACATCGAGCGAATCCGAACACGGCTCGGAAGACAGCGGGTCTAATATTCAGGCGTTGCGCGATGAAGTGGTGCGCCTGAGATCCGAAATACAACAAAAAGATTCCCGACTTGACGAACTCGAGAGAGTCGTGAAGGAGTTACGCCAGACTATTAAGCGTGATTGAATAGGAGTTAATATTCTGTTGTCTCTCTTCCCTTTTCTCTTCTTTCCTTTTTTTTTCCTTTTGGCATAATATTGGTGCATGGCATATGGTTAGGGGTCGGATAAATTGATTTAATTTGGGTATCTCTTACGACAAGATTGGAACATCAACTAGGAGTTGCTATTTGTTCAAATTCGTGTCCATATGTCTTTATGGGTTGGGTCTGGTTGGCGAGCAAGGTTTTCTGGCATTATACCCCCTGGTTTGATAGGCTTTTATGACAGTGATTATGTGCTTTTAATTTATTGTGGTTCATGTGTCTCCTATATTGTTGTCCAAACCCGTCAGGGTTGCAGGTGTCTAGGCGAATATGTCGTCATCTTTAGGGAATACAAGGCCTCATCCTTTTCGGATTCTGATGGAATGCTGTTAGGCAGCCAATAATTAGTAACGCGTTACCCGTAGGTACCAGGCCAAGGTCAGCTGATCACAAGTTTATGCAGAAGCGATCGCTTTGCTGCGGAGGCCACAGCAACTGTGAAACCTCTTAAATTCTCAGTTAAATAGCAATTATTATTGTTCAAGCTTCTGGAATGTGAGTGTGGCTTGAGGCCCTTGAGCAAGGCAACCATTGCTCAAGGCTAAGATGCCTAAATTTAAGGTTTAATTATCTTTGTGAGCCTCCAGCAAGGCTTTCAAAGTTCGGCTGGTTAGAGAGATCCCCGGCACTCGGGAGTAAGCTCCATCGGCGCAGTTTAGCGTACCCTTAGCCTGCATGGAGTTACATAACGCGGTAACTCTGGGGAAAGTAACACAACCCCCAGCCCTGTAGGGCAACGCCTGATATTGGTGAGGAATATAATGAGTTATCGCGGTCAGAGCCTGGCAGTCAAAGGCTAGCCTCCTGGTCGACCACGAACTGGGCGATACGGGCGCGACGAGGCTGAATGGCTATAAATAACTCTAGAGTTATAGTTGTTCTGGAAGGATGCCTCTGGTGACCTGCATAAGAACGGCGCAGAAAGGGGCTCTCGAATCCAGGCTCGTGCTTATCCGGCCTTCCTATCCATGTTCTTCCGCGCAGACGCTGAGCTGGCTGCCAGTTAGGGGGAGCCGGTTTAATCACGTGACCCATCTTTCAGGGGGCCGAACCTCGTGGGCAGCGGCGCCGGCGGTTGACGCGAATGGCGCCTGCAGCAAACCACAAGAGAAAACAACGGCGGCAAGCAAGCTTCACGACTAGCCAAAAGAGCTGAGAAGTCCATTGTCGCCGCCATTCTCCTTTTCCTTTCTTCCTTTTACCCTGTACATCAATACACATGTGCTCTCGAGACCTCGCAGGCGATTTAAAGCTTTGCTCCTACTTTCAACGGCGGAAGCTCTCAGGGGTGCGAAGTTTCCAGCTGAGAAGCGCGCCAGTGACGCTCTTGATTCATTGGTATGCTCTTCCTTGAGCAGACCTGGCCATAAAGCAGCTTTTATCTCTTTATCTTCTGTGGACTGCTCTCTTTGTTTAACCTTTTCTTTTTCTTTTTTTTTTTACAACCTTCCTCAATCCATTTGTCTTTCAGCTTTACAAATGGGGTTCGACAGCACTCGCGTCACCCCATCCTCCTCAGATCGATATCTTTGCATGGGATACGGCATGCATGGACCAGATTGCAATACACATTGGCTGGATTTGGTTAATCTTCGCCCTCTCGAGCCGCCAGAATCGCACGACTATCCCCCCGGTCTCTACACATGCACCCAGTTCTTTCAATCGCTTGGCAAAGATACCTTCACAAGCCCATGCCCCGGGTTCCATTGGGAATATTCATTGCGTAGACAGGCCCAACGGGTGCTTCCCTTTCTATACCTTGGTCCTACTTCCATGGCCCGGAATATTGAATTCTTAAAGCGGGAGGGGATCACTCTCGTTTATGCGATCCGCAGTAGACACATTTCCCACGACATTATTGTCAACGCGGACAAGACCGCGATGGCAGCAGGAATAGAGTCCGACCGTATCAATGTGGAGGACTACAACGAGCTTATCACAATGTTTCCTGACGCCATTCGCCGCATTAATAACCACATTTGTTGCTGTCCAGACCATTCCAGCCCGACTGGCCCGGCAGAAAAGAAGGTCCTAGTCTTCTGTGAGACTGGCAACGAACGATCAGCTACCTTGATTGCTGCATACCTAATGGTGATGTACAACCTTCGCTTGTATGCGGCCTTGGGACAAGTTCAAGCACGGCGACTCTGCGTCAATATCGATTATCCTGTCCGAGAAGTGCTTTGGTCGTTCGAAAGCATTTTGCAGGCACAGAGAGATGTTTCCAAAGTCTCGCGACTGCCACCCTCAAGTGGTATATATGGTACGAATGGGTTTAAACGTGGCCATTCTTCGATCCATGAAAGCGAAGCAGTGCAAGATCCTGGAAACGATCATGACATGGATATGGTTGACGATGAGCATCCCGCAAAACGCCGGAACGTGGAAAATACCCACAGCAATGGGTTACTACCAAACTAGAGAACCACCAGTTTCCTATTTATCAGAGGGTGCTAGTCAAGGGCACAGTCCGGATGAACAGTTCTTCAAGCAGCCGAGGAGGCAAAATGGATGACCGGATAGGAGTAATTCTAACGACGTTCGGAGTATGACGAGCGTCTCTTGGGCGGAATGCGCCTCTTTGCCTTCTCTTTCCTCTCGTTTCTTTGCCTTTCTATGTTTGTATTATCCAGTATGTATTAGTTTTTAATTGTTTGATGAACTGAGATGCTCCTTTCTGTATATGTTCTCCTGGTCCTTTGGATGGCTGTTTCCTTTTACAAAGAAGCTTTTTCTTCACAGGAAGGCCTTGCTGCAACCTCCACCCAGGCTGAAGTCTACCTTTGTCTTCACTCCACGGTCCATCCACAGCTGGAATCTTCCTCTGAAATGGCTGCAGCGTGCGCAACCTGGTGACCGCAGCGACAACTCTCCAACACGTCAACATTGGCGGGTCAGCGATTAGTCGTTCAGTCACCTGTCCAGCTTGATTATTTCCAGTCTTAAATGAGGTGAAGAGAGCAGAAAGCAGAATCCTTCACTATATTTTTATAAGCAACAGTCATCATCACTTATCCTTACCGTTTATCTCCAGCTTGGAACCACTTAAGCTTCATTCACTCTCTTTCAGCTTTGGGAGTATTTCTTCCGCTCGTTTTTGAAATCTTGACATTTTCTTGATATGCCAACGGACACCAATACTTGGACTATCCATCTTTTTTGATCCAACACGTCCAGGCACATCTGTCTCTGCTGAGGCCAAGCAATTCGCTGTTTTTTTATTCACGTTATTTCTTTGGACAACGAACTAGTCCCTGCTAGCTAGCTGTACACCTACAGCTAGACGTACCAGACATAGCTAAAGCCTCTCTTCAAGTCAATGACAGGAAACGGGTGGTGAACAATGAATTTACGAGAGCGCGGGAGCCTCCGTGCGCCCCGTCGCTTCGACGAAGAGGACTTTGACACGCCTGTGCGCTCCGGGTCTACTCCAGCACCCAAACCAAAATGTGAGAGGGTCCCAGCGTCACGTAATCGTATCATGCCGCCCTGCGCCAGGCCAGCGTTTCCACCTCCATATGTGAAGTATAACCCGAACAATCCACCTGCCGCGTTTCCGACGTTGGGTGAACCCGTTCCGGGAAGAGTAAAGAAAAGAAAAGCGAGAGAGATCAACAAGAAGAATAAAGGGAAAGGCCGGGTGAGAGATATGCGTATGACGACTCCGCTTAGTGATCATGTTCTTCAGATCACGGATGCCATGCAAGGAGGATTGGATAATGCGGGAGGGGAGAATGGAGACGTGGATGTTGATATGGATGCAGATCACGAAGACACGACCGAGCCCGAGGAGAGTGACGTTCCCGACATGTGCGACGTCGAGACAAGCGACGAGGACGACGAAGAGAGCCTTATCCAGGAAAATGACGAGGAAAATCATAGTGGAAAGGACTATGGAATCGATCCACTTCAATTACAGAGCGTCCAGTGGCGCGATCTCAGTCCTATCTTGCAAACTGAGATTATCGACAACCTGAACCGCGTGTACCAGTGGTCGGACATCGTGACTCTGTTGCACTTATCTCCCGAGGATAGTAGGATTGCTGTTGAGCATGCAGCTGCGCGGAAGCAGCAAGCGGAAAAAGAGAACAAAAATCTCCAGCAAATGCAAGAGAAACAGCTTGAGGCCCTTCTTCGAATTGATAATAGCGTATTGAAGAAAACTCAGGTTCCAGCTCAACTGGTGTTTAGGAGCATTTCAAGACAACATCTCAGAGATCCACGTGCGCATCCGAACCCAGATTACCTCATGAGCACAGCAAAAGAGGTTATTGCAGCAAGATGCTACTTACGTCGAATTGGCCTGGACCCCGGCTTCACGGGTGAATGGAGGTGTGATGTTGCGGCTATGGAGCAGGCATCAGGTACAAACCCAACAGCAGTGGAGGGACTTAAGTGGACACTTAATCCTAATACTGAGGATGAAATCCCGCAGGACATGGTCGCGGCGATAAGAGGACACAACACAGCTTCACCGAGCACCCCCTTTCAAAACAGGGCGTCGAAAAAACCAAAAACTAAGAAATTCGCGAGTGAAGCGCCAAACGGGCGCTTTATCAACTACTTTGGAGGTCAGGGAGGAACCGTCCAAGAAAGCCAGACGCAGACAGTGGGTAATAGCGCAAACGAATCAAAACCGTATCATATCTCGACCTCTGGAATGAGGGCTGCCCAGGAAATTCTCAGTGGGAACCAAAGCTCTCCGTGTGAGACCCTTGTCGACACTGCAAGCTCTGATGCATTTGAAACAAACCAGCCTGAAGACATGGTTGTGTTTATGAAAGTGGGCGCTGAGGGTGCTGCTCGAGTCGATAACATGAATGAAATGTCGTCCCCAGGGCTGCGCCTCTTCCCATCTAGTCCATCACAATCTTCTTCTGGTGGGTCAATCTTGACCACGCAACGAGGATCATTTGCCTGTGCCCAAACGGAAGCACCATCTCATTACACTCCATCGACTACTTTGGATTCGAAAAAGGAGTCTACTCCGACGTCGGAAATTCAATCATCGGGACGCCAAAGGCAACCACCCGAAAAGCCATTGGAGAGAGCGCTGTCAGGTGGCTGGTGGTATGATATGGATACCCCGAAATGCACTCATCCAACCACAGAACTTAGTCCATCAAAGAGAATCCAAGAAAGAATTCTTGCCGCAAAGGCAGAAAATGAGATCCGGCAACTAGGTCGATCAGATAGCCACACTAGGATAGCCCCTAGGCCTAGAATCATGCAATTACCCCTCCGCTCCTCGCCATTGCATTATGGTTGCGCCTGTGATCGGGATAGACCAGCCACGCCCCAGGTTCCAAGCTCAGATGAGCTTTCCATGATGAGTTCTCCAACGAGACGAGGGAATTCCGGGCAAGACATGCCTCAGATACGATTGAAAACCCCAACGCATTCACTAAACGGGGATGAAACCGAGGAGGAGCGAGGGCCATCGTATTCACCAATATCACCTCCAGGAACCACTGAACAGCCGTCAAACTTGAATGGAGCCCAGACTCAGACTAAGACTGAAAATGAGAATCATGACCGTGTGAAAAGTGAAAGAAGTAAAAGATTAGAGGATATGATTCTCGCAGAAATTATGGCTGTCCCGAAAGAGGAAGAAACGGCGTTAGGTGCGGCCAAGGGGGAGACATCGTCCACCGCTGAATCCAGGACTAACTGTTCTAAAATACCGGAACCCGATAATGACGCTTCACAGGGACTATCTGGACTTCGGGTTCCTCCCGTCAAGTTTGCAGAGCCGACAGATGATCCTGAGCTTAGCACACAAAAAGAAGGCCAGGGCGCTCATTCCAATCACACGGAGGCGCTTGAAGAAGATTCTCAATTGCCAAAGGTCCAGGGAGAGGAAAACGTGGCGGAATCTCAGGTAGCAAAGAAGGTTAGAAAAACGAGGGCAGCAAGGGTACCTGTCCCTGATTCGCAGAGGAGAAAGAGTGCGAGATTGAACCCGCCAGCTGGGAGAATCCTGAGGCCGTCAAAATCAAACGTCAAGTACAAATGATAGTCTGAGTTTGATGGAAACCCGGCGCACCCTTCAGGCAGTGTCGACTACTTCCTTTCCGTTTTTTCTTTTTAAATGCTTGAATATTCCTTTTATGTCGCCTTTTGTGCTCTTGTATTCGAGGTAGACTGCTGCATTCTTTTCCTTTTTTGTACGAGTTTTAAAGGTGGAGGATAATGCTCAAGTTGAAACCGCAGGGAGTGTCTGGTATGAAATGATGACTGGAAACCAACGAATTTGGCGGAGAAAAGAAAAATTGGGGGTCCAACAGGAGCATGGCTTTGTCTCACTGTTAACCAATGCACACAGCTGCACAATGTTTGATTAGAAGTTCTCAGGTTGGTTTGTATGCAGAAAAAATTAATTAGAATCCAAGAATTTGCCCTTTTTTGGACCCCTGAAGCTGTCCCCTCTGTGTGTGTTGAGTGCCTCTCTGGCAACCTTGCATTTCTTGCTGATGGATTGAGAGTGAAATGTGATGCCAGGACAGGGATAAGCAGGTCTAGATGGGTGGCGTTTGCTAACCAATCACGTGATATCGCGTTTCCATTTAACGCATCCACGCGTAGCCTCATGCCAGAGCGTGGCAAGCCGCAGACATCTGCCTCTGTTGGGCTATGTGCAGCTGCTAGAGCTGTTTAAGTTGAAGATAGTGGAAGTCTCTTCAAAACCACTTCTTGACTCTAGCACCTTCTTTTCGGGACGCATCGGGAGGTAGTATTCCTTGGAGGCGACCCTTCGCAGGCAGCTAAGGTGCGTCAGATGTGCATGGCACTCAAATACGACAGGGACTAACTATAGTATTCGAACCGGTAGAACCTAATTGTTGCCTACATAAAAGCGTCCTCTAGCGCTTCCCCTTGTCTTTCAATAAATAATTCGGTTACGCGTCCTCTTCCGCTACGATGCCTGGTTTTACTGAAGACGAGGTAAATAAGGCTGCAGGTGCTGATAGCGAAAATATGACGCTTGAAAGGGAAAACCGGAAGCCCTTTGATGAAGATGATGAAGAAGGAATGGACCTGAAGGCAAGGGCGCTGACAAAGTTGTTGAAAACCAGTTCCGTATGTTAGGTTTCTCTGGGCTTGAAGTACCTAGTATATATGTCGTTACTGACATAATATGCAGGTATTTGTAGCGATAATGGCAGAAAAAATGAAAGAACAGCGAAAAAGACAACAAGAAGAAGCACGCAAGGCGGAGGCAAAGCGACGTGCGGCGGCAGAAAGGCAAAAGAAGCCTGTAGAGCCCGCTATCAGTACCAGACGAGAAACTAGAGCAAGCCAGCAACAGTCTAAAGAGTCAGAGACTGGTACAGGTCGTAAGGATTCGCTTGTGGGACTTCAATCAAGTACTCCAACAAGATTACCCACTCGGGCCCGAACGAAGAAAGCCGCCGGCGGAAATTCTATTTCGAACTACTTCAAAAAGGCCGATGTTGAGATAGCAGAAGATAACCCAACTGTTCAGGAAGCTCTTGCTAAAGCTGCTGATGAGTTCGAAGCTAATCCTGCTACATTGGGAGAGCAGGACCTTGTGGCAACTCATCAACCAGCCCTAGTCACGGGCGGAAAAATGAGAGAATACCAGCTAGAAGGCTTAGAATGGTTGAAGTCCCTTTGGATGAATGGACTATGCGGGATTCTCGCAGACGAGATGGGCCTAGGGAAGACAGTCCAGGCTATATCCCTCATTGCGTTCTTCAAGGAACATAGTGTTTCAGGCCCTTTCCTGGTTGCTGCACCGCTTAGCACGGTGAGCAATTGGGTCAATGAATTCGCTCGCTGGACTCCTGGAATCGAAACTGTTCTATACCATGGCACAAAGGAGGAGCGCGCCCAGATCAGAAGGGAGCGGATGAAGATGCAGCATCAAAAGCAAATGGATTTTCCTGTTGTTTGCACTTCATATGAGATCTGTATGAATGACCGGAAATTCCTTGCAAACTATCAATGGAAATATATCATTGTTGTAAGTTGAGCTCGCACTCACCTAGAAGCAGGTTAGATGCTAACACTCGCGGAAGGACGAGGGCCACCGGCTCAAAAATATGAACTGCAGACTCATAAAAGAACTGATGACGTACAATTCTGCTAATCGCCTACTGATAACAGGGACTCCCTTGCAGAATAATATCGCAGAGTTATGGTCTCTTTTACATTTTTTACTTCCGGAGGTTTTTAATGACCTCGATAGCTTTCAGAATTGGTTTGATTTCTCGTCAGTTTTAGATGCTTCTGGGCAAAAGGATGTTATCGAAAGACGCAAAAAGAACCTGGTGTCGACGATGCATGCAATTTTAAAGCCTTTTTTGCTCCGTCGTGTCAAAACAGACGTGGAAACCGAACTTCCAAAGAAGCGGGAATACATACTTTATGCACCCCTAACGCCAGAACAGAAGGAATTATACCTTGCAATTATACAGGGTACGAGTCGACAGTACTTGGAGGATAGGGCGGTGGAAAGGATCGAATCTAGAAACGCATCAGTCAACCCATCTAGATCTCATAGCCTGAAACGGAAGGCTAATGGAAGCTGCAACTCTACTCCAAATAAGAGCCTGAAGTCTAGCCGCGATTCTACGCCCGGAACAGGTCTGACACGAAGTGTTAGAAAGAGGGGAAAGCAAAATTACAGAGAGATAAGTGATCGGGAGTTCAACGCAAAGCTGCGAATGCTGGAAAATGGGATTGAGGAAGAAACGCCGGGAGAATCTGAAGTCGACGAAAGTGAACTACTGGAGATTGAGCGAGCAAAAACAATGAAGCTAGCCAGTATGCGTGCCTTTTGTACCTTTATTAACTGAAAATGTCAATTGCTAATTTCTTCAACAGAAAAAGAGATCGCTTCAAAGAAGCTCCAAAACCCAATTATGCAGGCCCGACTCGCCTGCAACTCACCACACAATTTCTACTGGCCTTGGGATGAAGAATCTGACATCGACGAGTCACTCGTAACTGCATCCGGCAAAATGCTCCTCCTAGACCGTCTTGTCCCTTGTCTGCTATCCAAAGGCCACAAAGTCCTCATATTCTCCCAATTTAAAACGCAACTCGACATCCTGCAAGACTGGGCATACCTTCGTAACTGGAACTGTTGCCGCATAGACGGTGCGGTTAGCCAGGCGGACCGTCAAGCCCAAATCAATGCTTTCAATGCTGACCCGGACTATAAGATCTTCTTGCTTAGCACTCGGGCTGGTGGGCTAGGAATCAACCTCACGGCGGCTGACACGGTGATTCTTTACGATTCGGACTGGAACCCACAGCAGGACCTCCAAGCTCAAGATCGGGCCCACCGTATCGGGCAAACCAAGCCAGTGATCGTATACCGACTAGCGACTAGAGGAACCGTTGAACAAACGCTCCTTGAACGCGCGGATTCAAAGCGCAGACTGGAGAAACTCGTTATTCAAAAAGGCAAATTCAAAAATCTATTTGATGTGCCCCTTTCAGAGCAGAATGAAGTGGAGGAGTTAAGGAAGATTCTTGGGGATGATGGATTTCAAGTTTTTGACGTTGGTGCTGGAACGAGACCAGAATCGTTGCTGTCCAAAAAAGAGCTTGAGATACTGACAGATAGAAGTGAAGAGGCTTATGCCAGGGCTGAAAAGGGCTTGGATAGGAGTGGGAATGCGTTTTTGGCTGTCAAGAGTAAGAGGGAAGGTGATGTTACGGATATGCTTGAAAGATAGACCCGCTGGATCAGGGCTGTCATCCACAAATATTTATGCTACCTGTAATCTATTAATGCATTTAGATTTTCTCTTCGTAAAAAAAAAAAGGATCATCTGAGTATGGCGTTTGCTAAAGGGTACATGGTTATGACTAGAGTGTGTATGTACCCCCTTTGGGTCTACTCTAGCCGGTGGTATATGAATTTGGTGATAAGAGATACGTCCATAGCATTGGCAAAATTGAGCAGAGTTAATGTCGAGAAATCAGGATCAATCTTCATCTCCATCAAATAGAAGCAAGAGTGCATAAAAGTATGGTGGATATCCAAATCTTGTATATAAATGTACAAACTTGTCAGGGGCTTCTTCCTAACCCCATGCCCAACGAAAATGTTAACCAAACCCCAAAAAAAAAGAAAAGGGTGAACAGGGCAAAATATCACCGCTGGCTGAAGACAACAGTATGTCAAACAAGGTTCATGAGCCCAACATAAAAATCATATTAACAGTAGAACGAAATGATGATAGCGGCCTGTGAGTGCTATCTGTTCCGTTTCTCTTCTTCAATCTGCCTGCGTAAGACTGCTAGAACTTCATTTCGCTTGGCCAAATGCACCCTTAACCCTTCGATCTGCTCTCCAACCGTGTTGACATCTTCTCTCAACCGCTCGAGATTCTCACCTTCTTTCACCCTGCCGGTACCTTCTCTCAACTCGCGCAGTTCCCGCTCTTTATATTCCAGCATCTGCAAAGCTTCTTTCTTAATAAGCGCCCAGTTGGGCCCGCCAGCGACCGTCCGACCATTTTTCCTATCCTCAGCGGCTGTATTGGCAGCCGCGAGTTTCTTCTCTAGCTCCGCAAGTTCCCGTCGCAGTCGAACTTTCTCCCATTCTTCGTCTTGGATTGTATTGCTAAAATCCGTCCCTTGTGGTTTATAACTTGTTCTTCCGCCGATACCAAGTCGACTGAGGTACGCATCTCCAAATTTCGCTTTGCGGCCAGTACTAGTATCTGTGTCATTATCAACACCCCAACGCTTAGCCGTACGGACATTGTCGAGTTGGTAATCGATTTTGTTTGACTCAAATGAGGAACGAAGTGAGGCGGGGATGGTGCGCGGAATGCGGTAGCCTTCGTGTCTGTTATTAAGGATATGGAGGAATGCGAGAGCGGCATCTTTGTTTATTGTTGAGGAAGCAGATGGATTAACTAGATTCCAAGCGGAGCGGATATCGGTGTCTGGAACGGAAAGAGACTCGTAAAGGTCTTGGAGAGAAGAGACTGGATGTGGAAATTCGTTAGTTTGTTTGGACTTTTCGCTGGAGTAGTCAAACGGAAAGACGCACATGCTAACTCGCCACGATGATTCTTGTTTGCGGAGTATATCTCTTCATATTTTCCCTTGTCACTTGGGCTCATGTACCAGTCAAATCCATCTTTCAAACCGGGGGTGTCGTCATCTTCTTCAACCCTCTCAAACTGCGGCTCGCGACCGGATAACGCCTGCGTAGCTTGAACAAGATGTGCTTTTGACTCGGGAACCAGCCAATCTGGTAGGCTGGGGGGAACTTCAGACAATTCCTGAATGTCATGTTGGTCAGTATTACACGACTTCAACGGCTCAGGGATCTGCACCAGCGATCCCCAGGGGACACTACACGTACTCCATTAACAAGGTCGAAAATCAGTCTCATAGCAACGCAAAACTCTTCAAAATCTAACTCTCCATCTCCGTCAACATCAGCAAGGTCCCACACCTTCTCCAGCTGTTCATCCCGCAACCGGCTGTTTCTTAGAACCGTAGCCGCTTGAGCATTGTTGAGTCGGGGTTGGCCATTAGAGAGCGAGGAAAAGATTTCCCAGTACCGCTCTACCTCCCACTGCTCTATCCGTTTCTCGGACATAGTGGAACAAGCTGAACAGCAAATCAAGTCCCCGGTTCGCTGGAGAATGATGGAGTCGCCGTTCCCCTGGCGGGCGACCCAACTATGTCATGGGCAGGCGAGGGACGGCTGCTTATCTAAGCGAAACTTCGCTCAAGGCCAAGAGGATGGTTGACGGAACTAATATATTTTAATATTATTACCGGAGCACTTTTGTCCCTTTATCGTCGACATCAGGAGTCTCGAAAAAATATTCCCTATATAAACTACGAAATCCCACCCAGTTCTCGTCTAACTGTCCATGAGATGTATGCCAATTCTATGCCCCAGATAATATACACAAGGATGGAATATGACTTTGCGGAACGCGCGAAGTTAGTAGAAAGATGCCTCTGTGAATGGAATTGGGTATATTCTTTGACATGGCAAACGGCGTCACTCCAGGAGAGGCAACCGTCGGATTTTCTTCCTATCATTTGGGCTGCTTCTTCAGATTGAGCAAATGCCTCACTTGTGTGACAGCTCGCTCGACTTCTGCATGAAGCTCTGGAGCTTGTAGCATTTTAGCAAGATCTTTTCCATCGGATATGTCAAGAAGGATTGTCTCGTCGGGTGGATCGTCCTGGGGCTGTTGGTTTGATCCACTTTTCTCATCCACAACTGGAGTTTCATCCGGTGGGAGTTTGGGCAGGAGTCCTTGGTGTCGCGAATAGAGGTCCTCGAGTCCGGGGAGGGAGGTCGGATTAACGAGGTGGTTGTCAAGTAAAAACTCAAGATGCTTGGAACCATTCAAGGCTGAGGATCGTCAGTTTAGTAGTAGGTTTGAGTGAAATGACACCAGGAAATACCTCTCCAGTGGGACCAGCCCCTGTATGCCAGGTAGAAAAAGGGTATGTTTGGTATTCTGAATCAAAAGAAGCGATGTCAGACGGTCGTTGCCATTTCGCTTGCGTAAGGAAAGCTCTCCAAAACAAGGGCCGGAATGCTCACAATGGAATCAAGGCAATAGGCGCTGTTAGCGGGGCCACACCCAGGCTCCACCACATTCTTCTCCGGTGTAAATCCTGCCTTTCGGTTGCCAGTTTTCTCAGCGTCCCAAGTATCCTGCTCTGGTGGATCACATTTCCGGGGTAAAGCAGTTCAACCGGACTGTGCGACTTCAGCTCCTGAGCCTCCCTCTTTGCACTCAATGGTGGTACACTTTTGAGTCCCCATTCCTCGTAGGGAATTTTTTGAAGCACGCGATGGCCGTAAGTAGTCAGTGCTTTTTTCCAGCCCTGTTCCGCCTCTTCCCATTGCACCCAGGTAACAGCGGCTTTATTTGTAATCCGATCAATGACGCTCAGTTGCGTCGCCACCCCTCCAGTGGTCTTCTGGCAGTAGAGCAAAGTCCGCCTGGTCGATATCGGGATGAGGAAAAGTCGCATCGCGATGGATCGATGGCGGATTATCGCGGGCGCTGGGGGGGTGTGACTCAGTTATCCAGAGCTCTCTGAGGCGTGCAGACGGTGTAGCTGGTGACCATTTTCATGAATTGGGCTGTGTTGAGCTGGGAGTGTGGATTGTATTTATGAGCTCCCCGGCACTGGCGCGACGTCATTGATGGGAATTTTGCAGCGGAAGGGCACGCGGCGAGGCTCAACAGTGTGGCACAGTTTCAAGTGGGCTCTTGGCGCTTGGGATAAGTTAAGGAGGCTGCCCATTCGCATTTATTGCTGGAGGATTTGCCGCGCTGACCTCACCAGCCTTCCGCTCGTTTTACGTTTCAACTATCTTTTTTTATCTCTGACTTCTCAGAAATCAATTGTTGCCTATTTCCTGCCTGTAGTCTATTACACGACCCGGAGTACGTCAACCGGTCACAGCAACCTCCAGCGAATTTGAAACCATGTGCCACAGGTACTGGCGGCCCCGTCGATAGAGCATCCCAATTTCCCTGCTTTTACGGTCCTCGAGGATACGGCAATGGCAGGGAATGGCGATTCTTCGTTGCGTTCCCAGCTTTCGATATCGCGCGATGGGGGTTCGCGGCTGAGGTCAGAACTAGCGTTGCTGGATGTACCCCCAGGGAGACGGAAATCAGGACACTCCATGGCAGCGTCGAGCATCCAAAGTGACGAGAAGCGCTGCGGGTCGGCATACCAGAATAACCATTTCCAAAGCCGAGTGTCGGTGGAAACAAATGGAGATTTTGGTGTGAGAGTGTCGAATCCAGCACGTGCGCCAGTGCGGACTATTCCTGGTGTGTGTGTCTCGTCCTTTACATGGCGGGCCGTGAAAAGGTGCTGATATCTTTAGTAGTATGGGTTCAAAACCGTCTGCAGGTAAATGCAACCGGCGCTTTTTCACCATCGATGCCGACGCTACCGAATGGCGTCCGTGTTGCGGAACACCACTTTGCTCCCCGCGAGAAGCAATCATATCAAGGATACGGCCCCCGCGATCAGTTTCAGCGAGAGTCACGGTGGAAGCCGTTCATGCAATCCACAATGTACACCCAAGCAACGTCACTTGAAGAAAAGAAAGTCGATGCAGACTGGTTAGATGCACATTTTGGAGACTACTCAGAGCCTTGGCAAGGCGGAACCGACGAAGCGGATTTAGAGAGCGGGTTCGGTAGTCTTAGTTTCAACCAAAGGCGGAAGAAATTTACAAAGCGATTGCAGCGCACAATTCTGCAAAGCCCCATGATTCCTCTCATAATTCGACTGACGGTCTTTGTATATTCGGTTGTCGCACTCGCCCTTGGCGGCTCCATTCGTCATTTTGCGACAAAATATAACCATCCTCAAGGACCGTCCGCGGAAATGGCCATTGTCGTGGATGCCGTCGCACTCGTTTATCTTGTGTATATAACATGGGACGAATATACGGGGAAGCCATTAGGCCTTCGACCCCCGAAAGCCAAGATGAGGTTGCTCTTTCTGGACCTTATCTTTATTGTCTTCGCCTCGGCAAACTTAAGCCTTGCATTTGAATCCCTCTCCGATGTGACTAGCTCCTGTACGTCCGGAAGAGTGAATGACGAATTCGACCCAAGGAATGACATTATTTGTGACAGGCAGAAAGCACTGGCGTCGGTTCTGCTTGTTGCCCTGCTTGCGTGGCTAATGACTTTTGCTATCAGTGTTCTCAGGTAAGTGCAACTACCACCACGTTTAGCCGCTCTAGAATGCTAACTGAATGATTAGGGTTGTTGAACGTGTATCTGCCAAATAATAACTCCTTTATACCCTCGGATTTTACACTTTCGTCCTCTATCTACATCATGAACATCTATCGCCCCTGCCCGCAGAATTTCCTAGTTCTATACTACCTTCATTTTCCCACCATCAAACTATAATATACGTTCCCTCTTTATTTTCCTATTTATATTTTCTCATTTGGTATCTGGAGCACGGCGAAAAGGAAAATTATGTGTGGGGATTGAAAGTATGGTTTTCAAGATTATGTATAATACTCCTCCGTACTCCGTACATAGTACTTGTATCGACAGCGGTTCGTATCGTGATAAGAATGTCAAGACCTTGCAGCTTTAAGTGGGATCATACTTCCAGCACTGGCCCTTGATCTCCGTAAAGCGGATCTTTGCTGAACCAGCCCAGAGAGCCTATGCTCTGGATCTTCTCTTCTTCTCCCACTTTACCATAGCACATATCCCAATCCTTTCCAGGCGGATACGACCCAACCATACTAAAATGGCCGTCTAGATCTTCAAGCAGTCGATGCGAAACCCCTGCTGGAACGATAATGACGTCGCCCTTGTAAACAGTTGGCTCAAACCGGTCCGGATTTTCCTCATGACCGAAGCAAAGCTTTGCCTTTCCGGCAACCACGCTGAGAACTTCATGCGTACTCGAATGGAAATGGCTTGTAGGGTACATGGAATAGATCCACTGCTGCTTCACCGCTCCGACTTGTTTGAGGTGATTGGATATCTGTGAGGCAGAACCGGTGAAAGCTGAGTGGTAGATAAGGAGAGGCTTAAATTGGACTGAAGTGTTTGGAATCCGATCCCAGGGCTTGATTAAGCGCTGGGTGATTTGAACCTGGGATAGTGGTGTGACACACATAGTTGCGGTGGATATTTCCCGACAAAAGGCAATGGTTTGTAAAGATGACCAATGTCTCTGCTGGTTTTGTTCCAAGCCTCTTTCAGCGTCTGCTTCCAGCGCAGCCCGGCCAGCTGTTCCTTGTTGTCGTGCTACTTGCGGCGAAACGTCATTGCTCGCCGCCGGCTTTATCGATAAGGGTATCACGCTAGTGTATATTTGGAGTAGCGCAGGAGACCGAGTCAGGCGGATTTGGGCGAAGGATAGGCGCTTGTACCGCAAGGTTCACTCCAGGCCTGTCCAACCTTATTTGGTACTTTCAGGTACCTCCCCCAACCTTCGATTACTCCATCTTCTTCTCAAGGCTTCCAGCCAACACCAAACAACAACCACCTCATATTGCCGTCATTCCAGCTCCCTAACTTTCCTTCCGTCCACCATTTTATGAGGGTGCAAGTCTCCTCGTGCCACTAAGGAGAAGAGAAAATCACAGTTTGGGGCCCTTGAACTGTTGCCATCAAGCACTTGTATTCCTCTCCTCGAAGTTGGGTGACAAAGGCAGCTTACTCCAGCACGCCGTTACATCCGTTTCCCTACAGAGGCAGCCTAATTACTGGTATGTTTACACTTTTACTGTAGCGTGATTCTTTTTTTCTTTTCCTCCTGTGTTCTATCTCTTGTTATTTTGGTGTGAACTCCGAGTTCTAACACAGCCATCTAAGCTGAAGTTTTGCCTTCTCTGCAGAAAGCCCATCGGCATGCCTCCTCTCAACATGTTATCCTCCAACAGAGAAGTTGCAGAAACGTAAGTGTGCTGCCTAGTTTCATCCCTTGATTGCCTTTTGACATTGTTGCCTGTTCAAGATGGACGTTCTTGGAGAGGGGTGTCGATCGGGTTATGAACGACCTCGAGAGTGGAATTGACATGGCCACGGTGAGTCCTCACAAAACTTAAAACTCCATATACAGAGAAATAGAAAACACTAATTTGCATTATTTTCAGTATATGGATATTTACACGTCAGTCTTCCCCCCTTCAACGTTCCTAACTTCAAGCTGAGTCCTCGAAGCGCCGTACATAACTTTTGCACCTCCCAAAAGTTCCAGACCTCATCCCAAACCACCAACACAGGCCATCGTGGAGGAAAATGTGAGCTTTCATTTCCCTGCCGTGTAAATTATGAGACGTTGACCAGGATTGAACCATTCACAGCTCACCTCCTCGGCGAGGAAATCTACATCCCTCTTGGCAACTATCTCACACGCCATCTCAACAGCGTCTATGAAACCTCACTCAGCCATTCGGAAGAAGCCCTTTTAGCGTTCTATATTCGAGAATGGTCCCGCTATACAACCGCTGCGAAATACATAAACCACCTCTTCCTATACTTAAACCGTCACTGGGTGAAGCGAGAAGTCGACGAAGGCAAAAAGGGGATTTTCGATGTATACACTCTACACCTTGTGAAATGGAGGGAAGACTTTTTCAAGAAGGTTCATGAAAGTGTGATGACTGCCGTGCTCAACCTTGTGGAGAAGCAACGAAACGGTGAGACCATTGAGCAATCACAGATTAAGAACATCGTTGATTCCTTTGTTTCTCTCGGCCTGGACGACAATGATACATCTAAGACGACTCTCGTAGTTTATCAGTACTACTTCGAGAGACCATTTATTGAAGCGACCAGAGCCTACTACGAGAGTGAATCAAGGCGGTTCGTTGCTGAGAACAGTGTGGTGGAATACATGAAAAAGGCAGAATCCAGGTTGGAAGAAGAGCGAGGTCGAGTGGACCTGTATCTGCATCCTGATATCACCAAAAACTTGATGGACACTTGTTTGTCAGTGCTCGTTTCAGCGCATTCGTCATTGTTACGAGACGAATTCCAATCCCTCCTGGATGCTGAGAGGCAGGATGATCTTGCTCGAATGTACAGGCTACTTTCCAGGATAAAGGACGGCCTTGACCCCCTCCGAAATAAGTTTGAGACTCACGTTAGAAAAGCGGGTCTGGCTGCAGTCGACAAAATTGCTGCAAGCAGCGACAACGTGGAACCCAAAGTGTACATCGACGCTCTCTTGCAGGTACACTCGAAGTATAAAAATATGGTCGATGTGGCCTTTGCTGGTGAATCAGAATTTGTCCGATCGCTAGACAACGCTTGTCGCGAATTTGTTAACCGAAATGCTCTCTGCCATACAAGCTCTACCAAGTCGCCTGAACTACTTGCTCGATATACCGATTCTTTACTCAAGAAAGGTCTGAAGACCCCGGAGGAGTCTGAATACGAGGAACTTCTTGCGCAAATCATGACTGTCTTCAAGTATATTGAAGATAAGGATGTGTTCCAAAAATTTTACTCTCGTATGCTCGCTAAACGCCTCGTTCATGTCAGCTCCGTATCCGACGACGCTGAGACCAGTATGATCAGTAAGCTCAAAGAGGCCTGCGGTTTTGAATATACGAACAAGCTACAGCGCATGTTTCAAGATATTCAGATCTCCAAGGATCTCAATGCCAGCTATAAAGACTGGGCGGCAAGCACTTTCGATGAAGAAGATCGCAAGAAGATGGTTGACCCACATTTCCAAATTTTGGGAACCGGATTCTGGCCCCTCAATCCCCCTACTACGCAATTTATTCCGCCTGCGGAGATTCTGAAGACCACTGAGCGTTTCAAGAGCTTTTATTGCGACAAGCATAGCGGTCGTAAGCTCACCTGGCTTTGGCAACTGTGCAAAGGTGAAATCAAAGCGAATTATATTAAAAACACTAAAGTCCCGTATACCTTCCAAGTCTCAACTTATCAGATGGGTATTCTTCTGCTGTACAATGAGCATGATACTCTAGATTACGGAGAGATCGAGAAGGCAACATCGTTGTCCCCAGAGATACTTGATCCGAACCTTGGTATTTTAGTAAAAGCCAAGGTTCTCCTTCCATCCCCGGAGGATGGCAAGCCCCGTGCTGGAACTTCGTATTCTTTGAACTATAACTTCAAAGCAAAGAAGATCAAGGTCAATCTTAATATTCAAGTAAAATCCGAACAAAAGACCGAATCAGAGGATACACATAAGACCGTCGAGGAGGACCGAAAACTTCTTTTGCAGGCGAGTACTCCCTTTCCTTAACCTAGCTTATCTCTGTATTAACATTTGGTTAAACAGTCTGCAATCGTGCGCATTATGAAATCGCGCAAGAAGATGAAGCATGTCCAGCTTGTACAGGAAGTTATTCAACAAGTGAAAGCACGTTTCCCTCCGAAGGTTCCAGACATTAAGAAGAACATTGAGGCGTTAATGGAAAAAGAGTACATTGAGCGACTGGACGGCGACGAGTTGGCGTACATAGCATAATGCTTTACCGTTGGGATTGTCCAGAAATTGATCCTTCATGAGCAAATTGATGGAGGGCATTTGATAGCAAAGCAGAGGAATAGGCGAAGTGGAGGTAATCATCGCACAGCTTTTGAAACAGCAGCTTATTTGACTATTATTCCCATGTTGATTTGGGGCTTCAGGGATACGGCGATTGGTCGCTTCTTACAAATGGCATTAGAGAAATCACAAATAAATATGCGGTGACATTACCTGCTTCTCTCATCTTGTATATCGTCTCTTTATACCAGGTGATAGACAACATATAAGAGAACCGGAATATCTGTTTTGACTTGACTTTGAAGAGTATGGCCACAAGCAACAGTGAATGTCATGGACAGCATTACTATGAAAAACACATATAGAATGCTTCCTGTAACATTCAACGCTAGCTCGTACGGTACATTCATATCAAATTCACACATTTGTCTATTATGTCTTCTGACATCAAGATAACGTTTTTCATATACCAGCCGATTACTCTTTTTGGGAAGTTTCATTCTTGGTAGCCATAGCACCCTGGGGAGATGATGAAAGATCAACGTTGGTAAGGGCATCATTGGGATTCTCGTCGTCGAGTACCAAGGGCGAAATGGCTGGCTCCTCGTTCCGGGAATGAGGAGACTGTAGTTTGTCCGACGGTTGAAGAACAGGTGTCGGGGCTTCTTGTGGTTCTTCTGGAGATTGCCGGTTTTCGGGTTGGGATAATGAGTGTTCACCACTAGTAATCGTAGAACGATTGAGCGATTCAGATGAAAGCGGTGCCTTGTCCGGATTGGCGATAGAAACGTCCTGCGGTTTAGCTAAAGAATCCGAGAGCGGTGACGATGGAGGTTCAGTTTCATTCTTTGGGAGCCCTTTTGTGCTGGATATAGAATCGCGACTATCATGTTTCCTCAAAACATTACTCCATCTTTTTCTCGTACTACTACTTCTACTCAATCCTGGACCGCTGTCATTGCTTGTTCGCGAACCCTGCCGCGCCATATTACTAAGTTCGATCGGGTCAGTAATGTCAGGAGGGTTATTCATTGAGGTAGACGCTCTAGGAGTTCCCGCGGGAGACGTGACGACACTGTTTGCGTGACTGTCCGTATTGGCTTTCTTTTCTTGCCATTCCTTCCGTCGCTCGTTGGCCCATGAGCTCCATGAGCTAAAATAAGCAGAAGCACGTTGTCCTGCCGCAGCGACAGTTGCTTGAGCTTGGGAAAAGTCGGCTGTATTTGGTTTTCGGGAAGCGAAGCCCCAGGAACTAGTCGTGGGGGAGCGAATTGATGATAGAGACGGCCGTGGTGATGCCTCGTTGTCTAGTTGCTTTTGGTTCTCTGGTGACATTTGCTGTTGGTTTTGGGTCTTTTCTTCATTCTTCTTTCGTTGAGCCTCTCGTATTGCTTCAATGTCAGCCCAAAGGCTATTGAAGGCAGCTGTTACCTTCTTTTGCCCGGTTGCTAAATGCTTATTTAACGCCTCACGGCCTTCGCGCATGCGTTCGTCAAGGTGCAGGTCAGACATTTGTTGCGCGAGACGACGTTGAATATCTTCAATTCCTAACCCGCCAGCACAGGGATGGCGAGGCTCCACGATCGAGTACAGCAAGGCATCTGAAGTGAGTCGATTAAACAGAGCATAATTAGAAGTTGTTTGCCACCGCTCCAAAAATTCAATGTTAAAATCCAAGGCAGGATCGCCCTCAATATCTGTTGCCTGTGATTGGAATCCCGGAGATTTTGGTCCATCTTTTGGTGAACCGAGAGAGACTTGACTGGCAACCTGCTCATGATACTTCATAGAGGATAATAAGGCGAGGAGATATTCTTCGAATTGAAGACGGATAAACTCTTCAGATCCTAAGTATCCATGGGTTTTAGGCCGATCGGGATGGGCTTCATCCCAGGTTTCGTTAATGGTTTGTGTCAGGAAATCGATCCATCGCCTGTCAGCAGCGGTAAGCGATAAGGCGGATCGGAGGGATGGTGACGATATTGTAATATTATCCTCATCGAGCTTAATATGTATTAGCACTTTATCCCCAAGAGCTAGAAGGGTAAAGCTACATTGATTAGGATATCGCTATATCTATCCTTTTGCTGTAAAAGAAGCGAGTTTGTCGAGCCGACGAGGTATGACTTTGTTCCATAATCAGCAAGAAGGTCGAGCTGTTGTAACGGCGTGTAGGGCCCGAACATGCTGCCCTGGAGCGTGGATCAGCGCTTCGATCTATACTCAAACCCAAAATTCATAGCAAAGTACCTTGCCGAAAATCTGAAGAGGTAGACCCATATAAGCAAGTACTATTGTCGGTCAACAAGCGAACATAAAATATTATATCATTGAATTGCCTACATGAGCTCCTTTCGCTTGTTTTGAGAGAAGTTGGTTTTTCCACGGTCTGTGAGTAATTATCAAAGGACGGATCTGCGCAATCCTCGAGGTGGTCTAGAAGGCCGGGTATCAATGAAATAAGAGAAAACTGTATCATGCATAACCGCTCACACCGAGTGCCAAAAAATAACATCTAGTGCCATGTTATGTGGATGTAAAAACTTTAGTGTTGAGAGGATGAGATCATCTTACCTTCGGTTGTAATAAAAGACATTTGAATAAAACTAGGGTCTGGTGCTTAAATTCATGAATCATTGCTCGTAACGACAGACCTAATTCTTGTTAACCCACTGCTGCAAGTCAATTGTTATATCCAGGAATCTAACCAAGATGATGATCTTTTTGTGCCTCATTATTTAGGCTGACCCTGAGGCTTTCCCAGAATTTCTATAATCTGTCAGACAAGTTCATAAGCTGTTCGCTAGAAGGATTCGGGCTAACCTTCAGGATATCTGTATCTGAGAAGTCTCTGTGGAAAAGTCAGATCCATTGTATGCAATGTTCAGGAGCTAACCCGGCAGGCCAAACACCATAACTGCCAGATTCCATCCTCTACTTCACTAAACAGAAGGGTAAAAAAGGAGATTGAGAGCAACCGTACCGTTGCGCAAACCATGCTGAAGTCACCATCGACAACTTCTCCCTCAACTGACCGAAGCGCTTCGGCTCATCAATTATAATAACCACAGCCTTTTGCACCGTCGACCTGGTCACCTCGGGCGGTCTATTTATCAATGAGCTAGAATCAATCTGCCTCGTACACGATATCCCAAAAAGCGACTTCGGTGGTGCCGTCGTCGTCGCATTACGTTGGAGGGTGAAATATGAGAAATCTTCCATAGAGCTGAAGGACTGAAGAGTAAGCACATTGCATTTGGCCTAAAGCTAGCCGGATCGCAGCCTATAGGCTCCCGGATAGGAGGACATAACGGTAGTAGAAAAGGGCTCTCGTACGCATGTGCACCGTCAGACAATGCCATAAACGGCAATAATGACCAGTCATTCTCGCCAACGGGATCGGTACCATCCTCGCAGAAGGATAGCTCTACCTCAGGGCCTCTGGTTCCGTTGCTGCGATCAGCAATGTAATTCTAATAAAGCATTCTGTCTAATGTTTGGGGTTTTGGATGGGGAAAACATGATATCTAGTTGGCTCGGCGGGCGTGCTCACCTTGCATGATGGAAATCGACAACCAGGAGAATTGGCTCTTGGGTAAGTTTGCTGGTTGCCATGTTAAAGCTTCATAAAGGAAAAATCGAGGCACGTCAAAATCTATCTCACAAACGCTGGTCATATCTGAAATTCCACGGCGAGGACGGTCAGGCCAACTCCTCGATACCGTGAACTTGCGGACAAACAGTGATCCGATGCCTGTGGCTTATTAATAAATTACACCGAATACGCAGAGGTATGGTCGTCTCCAGACATAAATTACAGCAGCGAAATAATCGCCACGCGCCGAGGATCATCTGCACGCTCATACTCGAAAGGTTTGTGGCGTAAGTCGTAGCATTCACATTCCACCATTTCCGGCTACCAGGCTATTTTTGGCAGTTATACATACATGAAGGTCCGTCGATTATTGAAAATATTATCACAATACTCTCTCCGTCGTAACGTTGCTTACAAGCGCCCCGATCGTGAAATTTACAGGATCGTCGATCCACGAAGCAAAAAGCAGACGAAGGCGGGAACCTCCAAATTTAAAAGAGTAAAAATCCCCGATATACCCAGCGCCAGCTCTTTCTGACCCGGCTGCGAGGTATCGAACGGACATAAATGCACCAGAATGGAACTCGTGGAGATTCTATTCATATCCATGGAAACAGAATTCCTAGTAGTCCGACCCTACATTGGCACCCTCTGAGCCTCTGTGTTCAGAGGAGTACCGTGGATTCCTTGAGAGTCTTGATCGACATTGTGGTAATCAAGGATTTCGGAATACCTATATTGGCGGCCAGTTAGTATATCTTGAGACAAGATGTGGAGGGGAGGTTCCGCACATCATGACCTTCCACGAATCGATCGGCAACTCCGCATCGTTGAAGGACCAGTCAAACTGAGTCTCCGCTACAGGTTCATCTGTAGGGTCATGGTACGGTGCAAGGTATTCATGGGCAAGACCCTCTGCAGCAGTGATACGCTTCTTGGGGTCGAAGACAAGCATTCTTTCTAAAAGATCAACGGCTACAGCAAGATCAGTCTAGATTCTATCCCTTCTAGGAGAGTCAAATTGAGTTACCTAGAGGTTCTGCGCCTTTGAATTTTTCACTCAGTGGTTGCCGCTCTCGCTTTGGCAGTGACTGCACAAATTGCAGGGTCTATAAGCATCAGTAAAGTGCAAAGAAAGGCGGGTGAGGGAGGATGAGGTACGTTTGCACTGCAGATGGTTTTAATCACATCATCTGGTGGTGACCCTAATAGTTCTGTAATAATCGAAAATTGATTCACATGGTCTTTCCCGGGGAACAACGGTCGACCTGAAAGCATCTCTGCGAATATGCATCCCGCACTCCATACATCAACCTCAACATCATATTTCTGCCATGTGAGCATAATCTCTGGGGCACGATAGTATCTTGTAGAGACATAGCCGGTCATTTGGGGGTCTTGAACACGGGCAAGACCAAAATCGCAAATCTTCAAATCGCAGTTCTCATTAATTAGGATATTACTTGGCTTGAGATCTCGGTGAACCACTCCTGCTGAATGCACATATTTCAAGCCTCTCTGTAAAAGCATTATTAGCATCATAACACAGAAGGAATTAGAGATGGCAGAAGAAAGAGACATGCCAGAATTTGGTATAGGAAATACTGAATGAACTGCTTTTCTAATGGCCGTGAAGTCAATAAACGATGTAGATCGGTTCCAAGGAGTTCTGTGACGAAATATCTGCTGTATTGTCAGTAACTACTGGTTTTTCCAGGAATGAATTGTTTGCAAGACTTGATTGAGTACAGGAAAGGTGTATTTATACGTACATGTCTTCTAGCGGGGAGATAAAGATGTCGCTGAGACTGATAACCTACTTGAGGTTAGTTATATTTAGTTCCCAGAGGTAAGTAGGTTGTTGATAATCACATTTTCATGTCGCAAGTGCTTTAGAAGCTTGAGCTCTCGATAAGTCCTCTTTGCAAGCACTGGAGTGCTAAATGGCTTCATAATCTTCTTGACGGCAACGGCTTGATTTGTCAATTGATCTCGAGCCGAGCTGAAATTTGCTTATTAGCGAATCCACACAGTTTCGCTCAACGGATATCTCGCCTCTCTCTCCCCCTTCAGGTTTCCCATCCGCGAGATGTTTTCTCGCATTGGGGATGCGGGGTTCGAGCATACCAGACGAGACCAAATGCTCCCATGCCAACCGGTTGCAAGTCCGTGTATCTTTTTTTCCAAGCAGCAAGGTCAGCCAATTATCGACTTATTTATCTCGAAATCGGAATCGCTTATAATACCTCGTCGTGATTTCGAAAGTCGTGCCGAAGATCTGGGCCCGCACGAATTCCGCCATTTTGAAAACAATTCAAGTGATCGTGGCTTCGGTGGTGAAAGACCTTGCAACAAAACTAACCAACTTCTCTTCTGCGTTCGATTCTCTTGAATCTCGAGGATTGCGGGGCTTTGTTCCGTTGTGTAATACAGAGGCACAATGGATTGACGCCAATAGCGACCCGGTCAATGTATCCAAAAAAGTGACGTTGCGACTAATTGACAGAGGTGGGGGACGATTCGTCAAGTCGAAACAAGCGTACAGCGGTCGAAAATGGGTATCTGGAAGAACACGATCTCTGGCGTTAAAGATAAAATATCAAGGAGAAAAGAAACATCTCAGAAAGAAACAAAGACAGGTTAAGAATGCGGATGGCTTGAGGATGTAATCATCAAGAAAAGGCGAACCGGAGAAACGCATGGAGCGCTCCTTAAGCCATTTGCCCCCCAATTCCGGCTCTTGAAGATCGGCGCTAACTAGTTAAATTTTTCTCGACTCCGAAATAATATCTTCGTCATAGCGAATGTCCCAACCCACCGCCAGCAATCTTAGTGCTAACTATGTATCCGCCATCAACTTTCTGGGACCCCTACCTTCTCGAATAAATATACGTTCGAAGTCCGTATGGACAACACAGCCCGAAAAAATCATCTAGCCACGCGAACCTTGAAAGGTAACCATCCCCAATTCATATTCCATATAGAGTTGAGGAGGGGGGTGCTCTTGCACAGAATCGAGGCAATACGAAATAGCGACCGAAAAAAAACATAATATCGGAATTCAAATGAAGAAAGGGGCCACTAGTAACTGAAATTAAGCGTCTTCCCAAATGGAGTCTTAACGGGATCGTATGCGAGCTACTTCATGTCCAGGACACTGTTGCCTGCAGCCCTGAAAGGATTTCAATCTATCTGAAAGCTGATGGCTGATAATCGGTTATAAAGAATCAATTGGGGAGATTGCTCTGCTTTTGTTGATGTGAACTAGGACAAACTGGCTCTCATATCCGCCTATCTTGTTGAATTGAAGGAGCAAGCCCAGACTCTCCTTACTACAAGATGAATGTATGAGGTTGTATGGGGTCGTTGGTTACTGGCATGCCTGCATCGGTCAGGAGCCGGTGGAAGTGCCTGGTAAGATGTATATGCATACCGATGATGCGTATGCGGAGCGGGAGCAACGGCTTCATTGGAAACTGGGAAATTGCAGAGGAATCCCAGGTTAGCTTGAAGGTTGGCCATTGAATACTCCCGTGTGGGTATTTATGTTTGAACTCTCTCATATTTGACAGCTACCCTGGGGCCCCTCCCATCACAAGGCCGCCTAGCCGCCCGAAGCCACCCGAAGATCACCGTTGGCTAACTGCCAATTATAGTTACTCAGTGGGAAGTCTGGGTGGTCGCAAAATGTTCCATTCCTCATAAGCTCGGAGTAGCATTAGGGATGGGCTGTTTCGAAAGGGTCATCCATCTTGCAGCTCCATTGTAGTTTGATGCCTTTTTCTATCCACTAATCGACCCATTCCCGCCTCTGTGATACCCCTGTGTGCGCACTAATGGGGTTCCCACCACTGCAATCCGCGTTGCATATTCGCTCCAAATTTGAATGCTCGGGCACTACAGACGGTCCTCGAGCTGCGTCAAAACCAGGAGGGTCCTATGCTTCCTGGGCCATAAAAGGTCCCAAATCACCCTCGAATCGCCATTCCATCTCAATTGTGTTGCTAGATGGATTATTTGTTATGATTTCAATCCGCCGATATCGCTAATGTCTGAGGCCCATCTCCGAAATCGACGGGGAAATATGTGAGCGTGAGAGATAAAGTAAAGTGATCCCGCCAGATGGACGGAGTACGGAGTATGGGGCCCTGCGGCTTTGGCCAGACCTCCTGTGCAGAGAATGCAAGTTGGGGGGAAGCAGATGTGTACACATACATCCTACGGCAGGGAGCTAAATCTCTGTGTGCCCTCTAAGTGTTGTTGACACTATACAATAGCCGGGATTGAACTTACTTCCAAGATGCAATTATCCCTCAGGCACTGCATTAGGTAGTTCCGCTTCCGCGTGAGCTTCGGACGTGTTCATCAAAGACAGCGCCATAAATTTGTTCTCCCGCCTCCCTCCCACAGGGAGATGCATTTCGAGTCGGCGTTGTCCCTCTGCTCTTATACAAAATTTATGGGATACTGAGAAGGAAAAGCACATTCTCTCAGCGAACATTGAAAGACGCTTCAATTGAGTGAGCAAGGAAGGTAAACCAACACAGGAACACAAAAGAAAAGTGGAAGGCAGAGAGAAAGGGGGGGTTTGGGTTTGTTTGAACTAGAGGCATGCATTCCAGCAAAAGCAGAGGAAACCACTTAATCACATGCACTTGGTAGAATCTGGGGATGTCTTCTACCGAGTTGGTGGGGAAATATGAGAAGATTGAGGAAAGCAAGAGGATAGCATGGCAAGGCCTTGTGCTATCTCGGAACAGAGCATCTCGATTTTCCAGTGGGCATGGATTACTTTGTACCTATGATGTAGCTAGTCGGTTTTGACGGAGGGCTGGATCTATTTGTTGCGAACAAATTGGCCCAAGTTGAACCGCGACCGCGGCATTGAGTTTTGTATGCATGTGCACCTCAGTTATTCTTCCCTCCCGGTTGTATGCATCCTCGAGACGATCTGCCTTAGCCCTAACGAGATATACTCCGGTGCTTGATAAGAGCCTCTCAGCCCAGTTTGCCCGAAATTCCTTTTGCTTTGGAAATTTCACGGTCAGTACTCCGTAAATGATCTCCATTCCATCGTTTATAGATGCCCCACGTTCACGGATTCTGCCTTCAGTGTACAGGGAACATGGGACGGGAAACGTCTGCATGCAATCAGGGGTCTACCCAAGCCGACGTCACTTCTGCTGGATTTTCGTTTCTTTTTCTCTTTTTTTTCCGACGGAGACGCTGGTTGGTTCCTGGACCAAACAAGTTCGAACCGCTTCCAAGGAGGAACTTGCTGAGTGCCCCACATGGTTATTAAAGGACGTTCGCTTCTGACGACGTACAAGGCCGTTAGTTATCATAGATGCAAGAATGGTTGATATCATCAGAGCATACGTATGGCACCCGAGGTAGCTCGCCTGTCCTTATTGAGATCTTATAATTTACTGGTTAGCGAACGCCATGATCTCCGAGTGCTTTGTTGATATGGAATCGACTAGTATTTTGCTAGGAAAGCCTGTTTTTACAGGCCATGCGTTGCAGACGAAAGCGGGAGTCTGCCGATATGGGCGGAAAGGTCTCGCGAAATTCCTTCAAGGTTGCAGATGTTCACCCCTACGCATATTATATGAATACCCGAGGGTTCCCTAGCTAACGGGTTATTGTAAGGGTAGCACCTACTTCCATTTCCAAACCAGCGTCCAAATGCTTTCTAAACCGGAGGGGGAAAACAGCATACGGCCCGAGTATTGATTCTCAAAGATCTTCGAAGCCTCTTTTGTAGCGGGAACCCTGCCTATTTAGTTACACCGTCAATGTAAAATCTGGGCCGTCGCAGGGACTTTGGAAACCATTTGATGGGGTGGCGCTTGATGGTAGGCAAAATTACGAGTGCATTCGGCGCAACAAAATTATGAATGGGGCTGCGCAGACACTCCAGTGGTGCCTAGGATCGGGTATAGACTGCCGTGCTCTTCTGCAATCGTCTTGTTTGTTCCTGGAAATCATTTTGGCATGTTCTGACCCATCTTTAGCCCATTGCGCCGAAATATCGAAGCGGATACGGAATAGCATATCCACGTAGTCCGCACTTCTCTAGAGTATACAGTGTCCAATATTCTATTGATAGCAAAGGGATGCAAAGGGACAGGGAAGAGAAGGGGGGCCGGGGAGTTTTCGTCAGTATAAGGGTAAGCTGGGAGGGCGTTTGTGAGAGGGACCAGCCCCATTCACTCTGCTTTGTCGAATGAAGTAACTTTGCAAATACAACCACCACAAAGAAGCTACAATGGATCATGCTAAAATTGAAGGATAGTGAGAAGGTCTGGAAGTCATCAATGGGGCATGTCAACTTCTCTAGACTCCTCTGGGCGTGCACGACCGGGCATCGGGTTCTCAAGGCGCCAGAACTTCAGTGGATGTAACATGACAACCGAGCGGGTATTGCTAGTTGCACGCACCCCGCTTCCCTGTGCACGGAAGCGCTTACCATTGAGCTTGAGGTACGGAGTACCGCCATGAGAATGCACGGACCCCAGCGAGCCATGGTTCGGAAGCATGAGGATTTGCTCGTTTATTCAAGGCAAATTTGGCCTTGTCTCACATTGGACGACGATTTTTCGGCTCATTGAGCTCGAATGGCGATCATCGGATATCTCAGCATTTCAAAGCCCGCTAAATGCCAATCTCGCAATCATGGCTTTCTGGTAGCTAATGATACCGCAGCGGTGAGGTTTGCTCATCCATAGGCCTGACTTTGTGGTGTGGGCTGAAGGTCGGAAAGGATGATCGGGTCCAGGCGAGAAAAAAGCTGGATGCCACCGACATCATAGCTTTCTCACATTCAGGAAACGGACGGAGTAACAGAGTACTCTGTACTCCGTACAGGATGCTCTATGAGTTTAATGTATCTCAGTACATGGTTGGTGGGGCGGGGCGAAAGGATAAAGAATACATCTTTCTGCCGGTTGTTATTTTTAACCGGATCTCCTCCGTAAAGACTTCCGAACCCGTTACTATGTAACAATGCACCGCGTACGGAGAAGAGTACATACAAACGGAGTACTCCGTATATGTATGTATATTCTCCGTACATACTCCGTACAGTATACACATCTATTCCGGATATACCTTTCACCCCATGCGAAGAAACCAGGTGGTGATAGAGTCATCTGGTCAATTGCTTCATTTGTGTTTCTCTCCCGGATGCATTGAAAGCAAAAGCAGCCTGGTAGATGAAGGACTGAATTCTTCGATATCTATCACTTGATTTTCGCCCAGTGACCCGCTCCCCATTTGACTCTCACGAGTCTGGGCGATCCAGCTGACAACAGAAAATCGAAAAAACAAAGGAAGATCATGAGCGGGCCCTGATGATCGCACTAGGCCGAATCCGGACCGCTTAGTCAAGTGACACGCCCAGTTCTTTGCTGACGCCACAATACACGGTTAGCGAGGTGAGAGCTAATCGCTCTATGAGCCGGAATCTGCGGGCGGCTAATAAATCCCTTCGCCGGGGAGTATAAAAGGGAGTACTCCGTACATTCGAGGATAAAAAACCAGGGTTGGAATGGATAGGCTTTGAGAGCAGAGTCACCTGTCCTGCGTAATTGTCACCAGGTGGACACATGGACAAGAGGCCCGCTCAATCCATGTGCTCCCCAGGCTCTTGGTAAACCTGGGGATAATTGGTGGGGTTTCTGGAGTTGGTGGGTGGGTTTTACGGGGGCCGCGGTGGCAATTGCTTCGGTGGCCGTGTGCTCGATATTAATTGCTTTCACCGGTACGGAGTACTCCATACGCCGTATTTTTCACTCATAAGTAACGTGTTAAATTTCCAGAGTTAGTTACCCAAAACGACCGGCGTCTGTTTTCACCTTATCTGGCATCAACTCCATTTCTGCCCTCACGCTTTGTCTCGGAGGGCTCCCTAGATTGATAGAGTTGAAAAAAGAGCAAATCCACACTGGATACACTGTACATTCGCGAGTAGACAATGCGGTTATTGTATGTATGTAATGCATAGTTCCGATGACTTTGTGTGCTCTTGGACAGTCAGCCACGCGAAATGAGTCAGGGGCCTTGTATGAGTCGTTACCAATTTCAATATGCAATGTTACAGGGAGCTGAGGCCCGAAGTACCGCGCATGCAGCGGGTATTCACGACGCTTTCAACAATCTCAGTCACAGGTCAAATATAGAGCCGTGAGCTTGAGAAAGCACCTGATGCGACACTCAGCATTTTCGGGTTGTCCCCTTTTGACGGAATGAAGGTCAAGCACGTGGAAAGGTCGGAGATGGGTCCGGAGAACTCCATTCGGGGCAGGATGGCCGTCATTCGACGCTACATCTGAAGTCTTACCAGCCCTAAAAAACAGAGTACTCCGTATCCTCTTCAACCTTGGCAAATGGCTCCGGAACAACAACAGGATAAAATTCAAAACGGTTTCGCAGCACCTGAGAGACATATCTTGATTTCACTGTTCTAGAGCGAAAGCTTAACATTCTTGGATGATAGTATCAACTCACTCTTAGGTGGGATCTGCTGTTCTTAGGCAAGCTGAAGCGACACCCCATCTGATGTGCATAGACATTTTGTGACATGTATCGATACCGATACCCTTTTGCAAAATACACATCGCCGTATTGAATACACGTGCCGCTCGACTTCGGCATGCGGTTAGAGCAGATGATTGGCTGACAAGCTCATGCCAAGGACGGACTCTTACGAATTGGGTAATATATTACGTCCAAAACGGGGGCTCTGCGTATCCGTAGTTCCTGGTCCCCTTTTGTAGAGCTACCTGAACCGACGACTCCCATCGCCCTCCACACATCCCACCTGCCCACTAAGCACAGTGACCGGAGCACGCACCACCAACCCTTTCTCCCATGCTACTCTTAACCTTTCTCTTTCGATCGCCTTAACCGCCTACTCGCCTGGTCCCCCTCAACTAAGGCGATGAGAATTATCTCTTCCCTTCTCTTTCCCACCTTGAGAACTCCCTCAGGACATTCCTTACTTCCCTTCGCTGCTCGATACCCAAATCTTCGTCCCTGGCAGGCCCATTTCCATCTCAAACCCATGCATTTAAACGCCTCCCGTTATTCGCTCCTCTGTGCACAGTGATTCTCCGCCCTATTATACTCCAACCCGACACATCAGCCTGCTCTGGTGTTTGAACATCCCATCCGTGCCTCGGGCAGCGACTTCAGCCTTCTATCCACCGCAAGCTTCCCACTCCGTTCAACAACCTCGGAGTCCTTTGCGATTCGTACCGTGTCGGGTTCATCGCGGCTTTTATCGGCATCCTTCTTCAACGTTCGACTTCTTCCATTTATCGTCTAATCGCACCGTCTAAACTACGCATCGTCAGCTGCAGTCAGCCTCCCATTCTGTGGTCCAGGACCTTCCATAGCTAGCTGCCTTCCTCCATCTAAACACCTATTCGCCAGCCCCGTCAATCTTTCACCGCTATTGATCGGAAACAGCCGGCTGTCTAGGTTTACCCCGGATTGCAGCGCCTATTTCGACCGTTCTTTTTGGGAAGTTGGAAGCCTGTTCTCTACACCTGCGTCGTGGTCATATTGGTAACGATGGGTGGGTGTTTGAGTTCGAGTCCGGGTCATAGCCCGGATGAGATCGTCGACCAGAAGAAGAGAAGCCAAATGATTGACAAGAAGCTGGAGGAGGACTCAAAGAGACTGCGAAGGGAATGCAAGATTCTCCTCCTTGGTAGGTCTTTGGGCAGCGGTTCACAATCATTGATTTAGTTGGGAGGCCCTGACTCGCTGTTGCAGGTTCCGGAGAAAGCGGAAAGTCCACGATTGTGAAGCAGATGAAAATTATCCATCAAAATGGTTACACAGTTGAAGAGCTATCGATGTGCCGGCTCACCGTCTATAAGAATCTCCTCGAATGCGCAAAATCACTGGTGACCGCCATGTATGACTTTAATATCATGCCGACCAGTTCGAAAGTGCGCGAGTTTATGGAGTATTTGGACGAATACAACATTGATCCCGACCCAAACACCCCTCTTGATCCCAAAGTTGGCGAGGCCGTTACATATCTGTGGAATGATCCGGCCGTTCCGACAGTCCTTGACCGTCAGAATGAATTTTATCTAATGGATTCAGCACCCTAGTACGCCAGGACATATCCCTGCTCCTGATAAGAAGGTTCAGTGCGGATGGCTAACTCTTTGTCGCTAGTTTTTTCGATGAAGTAAAGCGCATTACGTCGCCCGATTACATCCCGAATGAAGCGGATGTCCTTCGAGCGCGAACGAAAACAACCGGTATATACGAAACAAGGTTTACAATGGGCCAGCTTAGCATTCAGTAAGTCAGGCTTCTACATTCTGAGAATGGTGGTTCTGACAAAGACTTTTCAGCATGTTTGATGTTGGTGGCCAAAGAAGCGAGCGCAAAAAATGGATTCATTGTTTCGAGAATGTAACGTCGATAATATTTTGCGTGGCGCTGAGCGAATATGACCAAGTGTTACTGGAGGAGAGCAACCAGGTATGTTACTATGACTCCATATATATAGTGTTGCCAAATATTTACAGAATTGGTTTACAGAATCGAATGATGGAAAGCCTGGTGTTGTTTGATTCGGTAGTCAATTCACGCTGGTTTATGCGGACCAGTATTGTCCTATTTTTGAATAAGGTGGATCTCTTTAGACAAAAGCTCGCACGATCGCCGCTGAGCAGGTACTTCCCTGACTATTCAGGGGGTAACGATATTAACCGAGCCGCCAAATACCTTCTTTGGAGATTTAATCAGGTGAACCGAGCGCACCTGAACCTTTACCCTCAGTAAGGAATCAGATATATACATTGTCGTGGAGTTATTCTAATATTTATTCTATAGCCTAACTCAAGCAACCGATACTTCAAACATCAGGCTTGTCTTCGCTGCAGTCAAAGAAACAATCCTGCAGAACGCCTTGAAGGATTCTGGAATCCTCTGAGCCTTCGGGGAAGCGCCAACCGCTTCCGTCAAACTAACCTCTCTTACCTTCCACCCATATATCTATCCTCATTTTACGACATCTACGTCTCTCAGGGTGTGGCATATATCTATAATTCTGCGCCAGAGAAACATAATCTCCCTATCCCGTTGGTGTAGTCGCCTGAATATGTGCTATTCTACGACCGGGCTCCAAGCTTATTTTTCAGTGTTTTCTCGGACTTGCACGGCGTTACTTGGGGAACGATAAATTGATTCCATTTCCGGCGCCGTGTGGCATGATATGCATATTGTTCTATACACTACCTGTTTCTGGTTCGGTTTCTTCGGGATTTCAAATGCGAATTTGTTTAAATTCTTCGCCGAGTTCACTCGCGCCCAAAATCTTTTCTGGTTCAGTTGATCGATTCAATTTATACCGAGTTACTTCACACGCTCAATCCTCAGGTTTCTTATTTTGGCTCTTTGACCTGGAATTGTCTTGTATGGTATTTAATTCCACCCTCTGCCACCATTTGCTCTAATGACCCTGTTTTCCTTTTTTTTTTTTTTTTCCTTCTTCTTTTTGAATGTCATGGACATGCACCAGTCGGGGTTTTCCTATTATGTTTTGAATATTGGGGGTCTGTATATTTCGTGTTTGCTCTGTGACACGACGAAGTCTCATGTGTGACTCGGATTTTATTTATTTTATTTTTTTTTTTTTTGGCAGGGCTTTTTTGTCTTCCCATTTTTTTAGCAGTAAGTTTCTTTTCGTCGGGTGTTGAGAACTTGAGCATGGGCTTGGTGACGAAAATTTGTGGGACTCTCTTATCGCAGCCCGCATAAGCTATCACATCATATCTTGCTCCCATGATGTATTTCGAGATACAAATGGCTGAGCCGGAGGTTAAATTATTAAATGCTGTTTTTCCAACCGCGCCACGCGTCGCGGTTATCCCTTGTGGGCTTGAATCCAAATCATCTGCAGATGTCTGTCAGGAGACAACAATGTGCACTGTTATTCGAGAGGATGTAACTCGGCAGTGGCAAACCGGGGAGTCA